GTGTCCTTCACTATAACAACGGAACATGTGCGAGAGATAGCAGGAATTCATGACCACATGAGTACGCACTGCCAAAGCTTTGTGTGATTAAGTGATTTCAGGTTATTTTAGTGTCGGTTAAGAATAAAACAGCCTTTCCTTTTACTGTCCAACATCGAAAAACACATGACATTTTTCAAAACGGAAATATGTGTTGATTTTCTTTATTAAAAATATGACATTTTTTAAAGAAAAGTGATTTCAGGTTATTTTAGTGTCGGTTAAGAACAAAACAGCCTTTCCTTTTACTGTCCAACATCGAAAAACACATGACATTTTTCAAAACGGAAATATGTGTTGATTTTCTTTATTAAAAATATGACATTTTTTAAAGAAAAGTGATTTCAGGTTATTTTAGTGTCGGTTAAAGATAAAACAGCCTTTCCTTTTACTGTCCAACATCGAAAAACACATGACATTTTTCAAAACGGAAATATGTGTTGATTTTCTTTATTAAAAATATGACATTTTTTAAAGAAAAGTGATTTCAGGTTATTTTAGTGTCGGTTAAAGATAAAACAGCCTTTCCTTTTACTGTCCAACATCGAAAAACACATGACATTTTTCAAAACGGAAATATGTGTTGATTTTCTTTATCAAAAATATGACATTTTTTAAAGAAAAGTGATTTCAGGTTATTTTAGTGTCGGTTAAAGATAAAACAGCCTTTCCTTTTACTGTCCAACATCGAAAAACACATGACATTTTTCAAAACGGAAATATGTGTTGATTTTCTTTATTAAAAATATGACATTTTTTAAAGAAAAGTGATTTCAGGTTATTTTAGTGTCGGTTAAGGATAAAACAGCCTTTCCTTTTACTGTCCAACATCGAAAAACACATGACATTTTTCAAAACGGAAATATGTGTTGATTTTCTCTATTAAAAATATGATATTTTTTAAAGTAAAGTGTAAAATATCAGTGTTAAAGAATTAAACATCTCATTCCGTATCTTTTCAGTTCGCAAAATGCACTTCACAAAGCAAATGCTGTAATATATTTGTGTTATTAGTACAACACTGATATCAGTTTCTTAAATTTAGACCCCGACGTTTGCCATCTTCCCGCCATCTTTCTTCTTTCATCTCACTACGGTTCATAGTTAAGGCACATCTTGAATATTTTGAGACAGTTAGCCGAGTAACGTCTCTCTATTTGTAATTTTATCTTTATTTCTGTAAGTTGTCTCCTTGGTTTCAAGCCTATAGAGACCTAGAAGGACGAAACAGCAGTATGCTACAACTTATTTCATTGTTCTGCTATACCGTGTGTAAATCTGACACTTTCGTATCATCCTTCTCCCTCGAAATCATCTTTTGAATAAGTGAGTCGCGTATGACAGCATATATTTTCGCTCCTTGAACTTTGGATATTGATATATGTCCTGGCTTTTCAAAACTGTTGAAATAGTGAAATGGGCACAAGGAAATAATATGTTTTGAACGGTCCATTTGACAGGTTTAACATGTCCTTGCACTTATAAAAAGTGTCTGATTATTAACCTAAACGATCACAGTCTGTTTAACAGGAGAAAATTATTGGCATCGACAGCTCGCGCTGTCAGAAAATAAATTCAACAAAATCGACGTAACTTCTGCTAGCACTATCATCACCTAGTTGACCTACTTTAAAAGAATGACCAAGAGTTAACGAGGGACAGCCGTTTGGATACTCTGACCAAGAGTTAACGAGGGACAACCGTTTGGATACTCTGACCAAGAGTTAACGAGGGACAACCGTTTGGATACTCTGACCAAGAGTTAACGAGGGACAACCGTTTGGATACTCTGACCAAGAGTTAACGAAGGACAACCGTTTGGATACTCATATATATATACTGAAAGGATAAAGAAACGCAGGGTAATATTTATTCCGATATTTTGAAAACGCGTTCTCCAAATAAAGTGAAACTTTGTGGATTGAGTAATGAGGTCATATTACACCTTGTCATGTATCGAAAATTTAGTCACGGTACAGTGCGCAGCTCTGGTAAATGGAGGAAGGGAAAAACAAGTGTCTCGTGCACCGTGTTGTTCTGGTCTCATGCAGCGTTGGTCAAGTCACTCTTCGTTAGTCTTTATACAGACCAACTGCTTCCCTAAAATTAATTAAGAATTTGATTCGTTTTAAGAATGGCACGACTCACAGAAATTCAGAGGGGTCAGGCCATTCAGATGCTGATGCAAGGACAGCTTCAAAATCAGGTTGCTAGGCACTTTGGTGTTAATGTTTCCACCATAGAACGTCTTGTAAGACGTCTTCGGGAAACTGGGCGATTGGCCGATCGATCTAGGTCAGGACGTCCGCGCGTAACGTCACGACGTCAGGATCGCTATATTGTCGTCTCTCGTGTGCGTAATCGGCGCCTTACTGCCGTTGAGAGTGCACTTAATGTTCGTGGAAATCATGGGCGTCCTATAAGTTCAAAAACTGTAAGGAATCGATTACGAGAAGTTGGTGTAAGAGCACGTTGCCCCTACGTAGGTCCACACCTTACCCCTGCTCGACGTCAGTGTCGTATGACCTGGGTCGCTGCACATGCTTCACGGCGGTTTCCACTGAGGCAGTGGAGACAAGTTTTCTTCACGGACGAGTCTCGATTCTGTCTTCATCGATCTGACGGCCGTTAACGTGTCTACCGACGTCGTGGCGAACGTTTTACGGACGCTTGCGTTGTAGGGAGGGATAGGTTTGGGGCGGTTCAGTAATGGTGTGGGGAGGAATCTCACACGGGTTAAAATCACAATTGGTTGTTATTGATGGCAATTTAACAGCAGCTAAGTATAGAGATGAGATCCTTCGACCCCATGTTATCCCTTTCTTACAGCAGCATAATCTAACTCTCCAGCAGGATAGTGCTAGGCCCCACGTAGCAAGGATTTGCCAAGTCTTTCTGGCCAACAACAACATTCAACCACTAGATTGGCCGCCATATAGCCCTGATTTGTCCCCGATTGAGCATCTTTGGGACCAGTTGGATAGACAGGTTCGAAAGCGCCAGCCACCCCCTGCTACTCGAGAGCAGTTGACCAGAGCTCTAATTGAAGAGTGGGACAACATCCCCATAAGACGGATTAACGCTCTCATGAACTCTATGACCAGAAGAATAAGGGCCGTGACCACAGCAAACGGCGGACACAAAAGATATTGATGACTCAGTTCAATTTCAAAATCCTATGGGTCCATTCAATTTAATCGTTAGTACCTCTAAACTAATTGTCAGATGCAAAATACAGACTTTGGAAATTTTTAAGCTTTAATTTATCTGTAAGTATACAAAATTTCGTTTTAAATGAAGCCCGATATCATAGTTAATTTCTGGTTTAAAGTTCACCCTGCGTTTCTTTATTCTTTTAGTATATATAGAAAGGAATGAAAGGACAAGAAGTCAAAATAAGTTGTCCGAGATATCCCCCAGTCCGCAGTGATCTTGTGTCACATTGTAATTCTACACGAGAGGTCAGTCCTAAGATCACTGGCTATAAATGTTAGTACAGGCGACCTCTCTACAGTGATATTACTTTAGTTGGTTAACTTCCTGTATATTTTGCTTACATCTGCATTGTATGTATAATATTCTACGTTTCCACTTCATTGAAGGTCTTTCCTACACTGCTAGGTGAGTTTCCGTCATCGAAAAGTTGTTTACTTGGTTATAAGAAACAATAATAGATCAGTAGTCATTCCATCAGGCAAAACTGAAAAGTATAGAATTCTATTTTTCTGTACGTACGGCCGTTGAGTGTAACCATACAGAAAACAGTACTGTCTCAAACACCAAGGTAGTCTTTCAAACATCCTCTGGTGAGGCACCGCGACCACAGCGCCCCCTCCGTCATATTTTAGTCCAATTGGTAATCTTACAGATACAGGTGTAAACTCTGTAATATCCTTCCTGCTGTTTAAGCAGTGTTAGAGTTCATGTAAATAATAACAAATAATTTGTATCACCTTGATCAATATATTTTATACACTTGTTGAAGGAGACAGAATTGACAGGGCGGATGTATTCGATAACGACCAGGAAATCAAGGACATCTGGTCTTATTCCTTCAGATGTCTACACCTAAATCATTTTTTCATTTGCCATGGGTTCTTTGAATATGTGTTTGAATTAATATTATATAGATATACCAGTATTTTCGTAGTCGTTTAAGCACGTTGATGACAACGGTTCAAACTTCACAGCTTTACTAAGCGAAAAGGATTCATTTGCCTCGGCATACTGAATAGCTAATGCTATTTTTGCGGTGTCCAATTATGTTGATTAGTTGAAAAAAATACATTAAATCATTAAAGATAACAACATCTATGTACAACATAAGCGTCGGCTTACAATGTACCATTCTTCTTAAGATTGATATACTTCTGTGGTGGAACAGCTGAAGTGATTTCATCAATGTGTAGTCACGTTTGATTTCTTACAGGGCATGCCAAAGCACATGTACATTGCAAGTTGTATATGAGTAACTGTGACAGTCAGAAGGTAAGTTAACCTCTTGCTAAGCCTTTCAGAAATACCTATGTACATTGTACTAGGAGTAATATTGATTTTTGCACCTTAGCTGTTCACGCTTGGGAAACTTGATGAACAAAACTGGGAGGTTGTAGTGATAAAAGACAAACTCTAAGCATAAATTCTTCACATTTTGTCCGTGTTCATCACTCCAATATGAAATGTAATTTGTGTTATCATATAAAACTTTACGGAGACTAAGATGCTACTCTGACCTCTGAACTCTGACCTTTAAAGTTTTATCTTTACATGCTAAACCGTTTTTTCAGTGTTTTTTTTAACATACTTTCTACGTCCCGAGTAAAAATACATAAAATGATTCTAAATATTACCAAGAAGGAAATACCAAATCCATTATGTTATTGTGGCTATTTTTAGTATTCTGATGCGTGCATCATCGACCTTAGTTTTCCAGACTTTCTATTTTACTACAGTGCAGAAGTATGGAGAAAGAAATCAAATATGGCGTTCCATCTTCCGAACTTGACACAGTTCCAATGCAGGAAATTGTGAAAGAAAAAAACTGCAAAAATGTTAACAAAAGAAAAAAATCGTTCCGTGATGATGTCCTGACCAGTAAAACTGTACAATCACAGATCGTACGAAGTGTATGTGTTTCCGCTGCCTATATGATAACGGTAGGTGTAGCCTTATTGCTGGAGTTGTCTTTCTCAAACCCAAGTTAAGCTTTCTTGATAGAGTCTTGGTCATAATGTATCATAATTCATGCCTCATTATAAAACTAGATAATATTGTGTGTAGACTTTCTCGTCAAACAATCCGCCCTCTTTAATTAAGTCTGGTGGACAACTATATTTTTAGGGTTGGACGAAGTCAAGTTATGTCAAATGATTTCTATTTATGGGCTCAAGTTTATCATAGGAGATATTTAACAGTGCCTTAAAGAGCCAGACCCACTCCTCGACCGATATTATTTTATATAAAAAAAATCATGATTTCTTTTTTTCTCGGGTTGCAAAAGTTCTTACTAACCCTGTAATACCGCAGTTTTAAAGTAAATTGCTGCCAATCTAATGTAAAAATAGTCTTAAAAAAGAATTCGATACGACTCAGTCCTAATTCATAATTATGCGGGAAGCCCCGCCCTCTGACGCATGCGCTAAAAACTGTAAATAAATCTGCCGTCTTCCAACATGGCAGAAAGCGTGCGAGAGAAGCGGGGAAGAAAACGTGTTTTGACGGACTCTGAGGCGAAAAGAAGGAAGGTGGCGCGAGACAGTGATATTTCAAAGGAAAGATTTATATTGGCGAAAATACGGAAAGATGGAATGCTGTGAAGACCGAACTGAATTTAAAAACAAATCATTTATCGGTAAAATCTCTTTACAAGCGATGTCACATGGACGTACTACTCACCTTTTCCTCCATTTTTATTTTGGTTCTGACCGCGTCTGACCGTATCACGTGACTTTTCCTCATCAATATTCATATCCTGGTGTTGATTAATGAGACTAATTCCGGCATGACATTTCCAGTCAATAAAATATGAAAAAATATCTATAACGGAGTGGGTCTGGCTCTTTAAGTCAGTTGTTAGTACTGACGACACTATTAGATATTCTATTTACTTCATTTTCACAGGAAATAACCAAATTACTGGAATAAACGAGGAAGCTGGCTAGGCTTTTCGTGGATACTACTCACTCATTATAACTTCGCTGTATGCGACATTCCAAAAAATAATTTTGAAAAATTAAAAATCTACGGACACAAAAATAAATTTCAATTCAATTTATTATCATGTTCACATAGAAAATGTTACTTATTCATGTTACGAACAGTCAAAATCATTCAAAGCGAGTTTCATCTATGACAAGATACCTCGCAGGCTCAAAATATGGCGGCAACTAAGCTATCGTTGTCCATAACACAAATCCTCTTGAAATGTTTAACTTAACTTTCAAGGCGTTCTGTTGGGGATTAGGTTTGACTCTGACAAGGTAATTTGAATTACAAGCTTGCATTGTTAGCTGATTTCCATAAAAATGAAAGTTTACCATGGAATTGAATGTCTTAAGGTTTCTGGTTTGATGTTTTTTTTCTTTTGTAATGGGCTTTATGATTTGTCAATTTCATGAAAATAATTTGTGTTCTCTCTTTTCATTGGCGTAAGTCTGCAAAAGAGTTTTTATTTTCACTAGTGACAAATAACAAAAAAGTGTTATTTTTCATTCGTAAAAAATAGCATTTTTATCAATGAGTTATTTCTCTATATTTCACTGACAAAATTGTAATAAATACATGTATGTATTAATATTCAGCTTTTCATTACTGACAAGCTTCTGTCAATAAAGGGAATAGAAAAAGGCGAGACATATTTACCTACTACCTGTACAATCAAAGAGTTACAAAGAATAGCTTAGTTATTTGAAAAGTATACTCAACAAAAACATAAAAGCACAAGTAAACAATACAATCAATAACTTATGATATTTTGGGAAATTTGTACAAATATTTTATATCAATATGGAGGGGAAAATCTACTATTTACAATACTGTAGAAGAAGAGTATTCGTGACGTCACTTGTGTCGTCAGTAGTAATTCATAGTGAGATACCCGCGAAAAAACTAAATGAAAAAAAACACCAACAAAACAATACGTTTAATAAACTAAGATACCACAGCTTGACCACGATATGTGTTTACCTAGTGTGCCATCTTTTGCAGGGCTGGACGAAGGGTCTGATAGGGCCAGCCTTTCCTGATATCATGATGATTTCCGGAGCAGATCTAGAAAATGGATCTCTATTCATGACTGCACTCTACACAGGCCTTTTGCTTGGTTCTGTCGGAGGTGGTGTGATTTACTCCAAAATAGATAAATATCTTTTATTTACTGTTTCGTTAGTATTATACAGCGTAATGGTAGCACTCATTCCGTGGTGTTCATCGTACCAACTTATGGTAGTTGCTCATGCGTTTCTTGGTGTTTGTGGCGGGCTTACTAGTGTAGGTAAGTTGTACTTGCTACAGATGTCTCTCTTGCTGTTCAACACTTCATCTACATCAACATAAAGATAGAGTGTTATCTGAAACTCATTCATTCCTCTATCAGTTACACATTGTTATCTGAAACTCATTCATTCCTCTATCAGTTCTAATTTGATTATATAAAAAATAAAACAAACCGTTCAGCATCAACTGATGAACACGTGGACAGTGCCCGCCATGAATCGTTTAATATATATCACAGTGCACTGTGTAATTCAAATAAGTTAGACGATATCTAAAATCTTATTTTTTACTTTAATTTGTACTATACTTATATATGACGTAAATGTGTTGTTTGGTAACTATTTAATTTTCAGGGGTTGGTTTCGAATCTATAGCTATTTGGGGGCCAACACCACGAGGACGTTCCTATCTGTTAGTTAACAGTGCTGCTTACGCTATCTCCAGCGTCATATCACCATTAGCCACGGCTCCTTTTCTACTAAAGCACTCTGTTAGTATTAATTCGAACAACTCGTCGTGGAATTCAACATCCTCTGTTCAAAGTTTCTACACAACAATTAACAACACTAATCAGTCTTATATAATTGATATGGAACTATTCAACAACAACATCACGACACCAAGTAAAAGTTCAAAACTCTATATCGCTTATACAATATCCGCGGTTTTAGGTTTGACAATAGCCCTGCTGTTCTTCATCTTGTTTTGTCAACAAGGATCCGTTACCATACAGAAATCATCAAGTGATCAACTGAAATTTATTGGGAAATATTCGTTACATCTTAAGCGTTTACAATTATTTAACATCAGTGTATTTAGTGTAATCCAAAATGCCGTTGATTTCACATTTACTGGCTATCTGGCAACTTTCTGTATCAACTATCTTGGGTGGACAAAGACGATAGCAGCTACAATAACCTCTGTTGCTTTCTTCACTAGACTTTTGGGAACAACTAGCGGAATATTTTTACTTCGATATTTCCGGACTCATCAACTTCTTCTGTCTGCAACTGTAGCATCCACTGTAGGTTTCATCGGCTTTACCATATGTGCTCATGTCCATTTTGATGTTGGGATATGGATATCTCTATGTGTGATCGGGATTCCGTACGGTCTTCTGTGGCCAAACATGCTGAGTTGGATAAATGAGTACCTCATTCCAATGCGAAGTGAAATGGCGGGATTGATGAATTTTACTGCCGGTCTCGGGGCTTTATTGGCACCTCTACTGCTCGGCTATCTCATGGAACACGTTTCTCTACTCTGGTTCTGTTACTTGTTTTGTTCCAAGTCCCTCATTCTTACCGGAAATTCGGTCTTGATGTTTGTATATACGATGCCTAAAGACACTAAATAATGCGAATAGTTAACAAAACTGTTTAATTAAAATGATCAGAGATAACGATATAGATGAAACACACATCATATCATATAACCCGTTTCTTACACTTTTTTGAAATGTGTTTAAGTCAAGTCCTTTAAATCATCGCCATTTAGATAATTTAGCCACTTATACCCGTGTACACTTTCAACACCTCTTTCTTCTAAGATATCACTATTAAGTTATATGCATCCACATGTCTTCGTGCCGCGGTAGAACTACGTATCTTCCACCTGATCCATACACAGGTAAACTTAGTTGCCAAATATTTCTATTATACAGTCAGATGCTGGAGCGTGCAATACGATGTTCGACGTTATCATTTTATGTATGTATGTATAAATATATATATCATATGTTACATGTTATGATATGTTCCTTGTTGCAGGACCACACACAGACACACACACACACACACACACACACACACCCTCACACACACAGACACCCTCACACACACACGCAGACACACGCACACACACACACAACACACACACACACACACACGCACACACACAGACACACACACACCCTCACAGACACACACACACACACACACATATATATTTGAAAAGAATGAAATCAACACGGCAAATGAATTCCGCTTACTTTTATTACTATATGATGAGTTTCAAATTATACATTTTTACTGGAATAAATGTGGTATAGGTAAGATCGCATTAGCATGAAACTGACGACAATTATGACTTTGTTGTGCTTTGTGGGAGCGTATCCAACGTTAATTTGTGAATTTAGAATTTATATGTATTATGTTATATGTGTGATTCTGCATATGGTTTGTGAGATAAGGTGTTTACTGTGTGTACTTATATATATATATATAATATACCGGAAAAATCACAACAGTATCAAACAGCTGAGCCGGTACTGACTGGGACCGCCGTGTGTTATATCGTTTATAGCACATTTCTGTTAAGGCGTATGTCGAATTAAATCAACGAGTGGCCTTAAAAGTCAAAGAAAATATGTCAAAACATCGATCTAATACGACTCTAAGGGGCGAAAGTTATACAAATGGCGTGAAGTGGAAGTATAGGACAAGAGTTACCTCCCTTTAATCGTGGTCCTTGTTGTAGGACTACATGAATACAGAAGGCCGCTTTGAGAGAACTTGATGAAGGAATGTCAATATTTGTTCCTTTTTTAAAGATTTCATTCTTTGGTAGAAAAAATATACGACGAACGCAAACCAAGAAGAGAAAAAAGGAAAAAAATTACAAAGGGAAAAGAAACAAAACATCTCAACCAACTGCCTATACACTAAATAGTTGATGCTATATCTAAAAATAAACTCGTACGCTGAACGGCCGTAACAGTGGACCTAAAATCAGTTAAATAAATGAAAATAAGCGAATGTAATATAATTATAATATAATATAAGCTGACGTTATGTGAAATATTAGAAATAAAAGAACTCAAATGCTCGCATATGTTTTCTATAAATCCTTAGTTATAAACATATTTAAATGACATATAAAGTGTCAAAGAAATAAGAGGTTTTCCAACTTATACGTAATACAAATATACAATTATATCCGACAATTGTTAAACATAATCACTTGGATTGCAATATTATTTTAATAGGCAATAAACCGTTAACTAATGAATCGTCAGAATTATAATCTAAAAAATGAGACAAGGAAATGCTAAAAAAAAGTTTTGAAATAGAAAATACGTTCTTTTGTATCCTGTATATCCTAATGAATGTGCGTTTTGCTGAGACGGTCCTGATGAGGATTTCTTGACCAGGAAATCTAATGGTATATAATGAATTTCGATTATGGACTACTTTCTGACGGCCCGTGTGTCGGCTAATTTAGCGTCAATCATTCCAACGTTTTCTGATTGCTAAATACTTCTCTTGAGTGTAACTCTGTAACTCTTGGGTATATCTCAATTATGTATGTATTATCACCACAAATCATTGATTTCAAATTCGTGAACTCCGACTTGGAGGACCACTTTCACGGACTTTTAGAAAACAGAAATTTCTGGTCGTTTCTTGATTTCAAAAGATTGAATATTTAGGTGAAAATAGAACAAAAATTGAAGCACGGAGAAGCCCTTCTGTTTTAATAATGAAAAAAATATCCTCGAAAATTGCTATTTACAAACATAAATTCTTCTAAAATGTTTTATTCTAGAAGTCTAGAATTCTCAAAGTTAGCATTTTCACATTTCTTTCTTAATATCAAGTATTATACTCTTACCTTGCTGTGAAAATATCAGAGAATGTCTGTTATTTAGGAAAAAATAAGAATACTATGTGATTATTTTCCTGCCACACATATTCTGACGCCTGTACCGGAAAAAGTAGTGCAGAAACCTAATGTTTTTTTCTTTCCTTTTAAACTACTGCCTAAAATCAAACCTTTCAAAAAATGAATTATTGCCAGAAAAAAATTCTAATTCTGGATTTTTTAACTTTTCAAAGCAATACATCCTTAATTTTGGAAAGGAAAGTAAGTGCTTTATTTGTTACATATCAGGTTACATCTATAATCCACAAAGCAATATACTTTCATACTGAAACAGCTCCATCTCTTACCTATATAAGGAGTGTTAGTCTAAAGACAGATAAATTTCCCTGCGCAGTGAAAAATAGCTAAAATTACCACCACCTTCACTGGATATTTGCAAATAACAATCTGATTTAAACAATGTTAATACATGGTGTGTTGAGTTTTATAAAAAGAAAATAATTTAAATAAAGTTAGCAGACATGTTAGAAGTGACAAATTAACTAAAAACAACTTGTCACAGTATGACTGTCATTGATGATCTTGATCATCTTCTGATTATTTCCCTCTATCTATAAGGTTTGAAGTAATGGATTTCAATGCTCTAAGATCAGATGTACATTGTAGATTACTTTTTTACATGGAAGGTATTATACCAAATTTTATAATAGTTAACAAACAAAATCCTGTCAATGTAAATGTAAAATGGATTGATGATAGAAACAACTAGGGGTATACATCTGGTTCAGAGTAACGGTGAACTTTTTTATTTTGATTTTGATTTTTTATCAATGAATTACCTATTAATAAAGCTAGAGGCTATGATGAAATTATAAGTGAATACCTTAAAAGCATTTTGTTTATTTTCAGCCAGTTACATGTCAATTTTTTTAATGTTGTATTAGACACAGGAATTGTTCCAGAAAAAAGGAAATTGTGTGTTATTAAACCTATCTATAAAAACAAATGTAACACTAAATACCCTGATAATTAAAGGGCGATAACTCTTGTATTGGAAATGTTTTTACCTCTACCTTTAACAAACGACTTGCAACTTTATCTGATGAAACACAAACTATATCCGATGTTCAAGTGGGATTCAGGAAAGATTTCTCTACAACAGAGAATATATTTATACTCAATTATCTAATATATATATACTTTGCTATAGGTATAACATCATACTGTACATTCGTCGATTTCCGAAAAGTTTTTGATACAGTGTGGATATGTGGGTTATGGAGAAAGTTGCTTAAAAGTAATATTTCAGGAAAAATATTCAATACAAAATCTTGTGTCGTAAATGACCCAGAAATGTGTCGTCTTTTTGTTTGTAGTGTCGGGGTAAAACAAGGGGAAACTGTTTGAAATCGTTTTTACTGATTTAGAGGATTCTTTGACCAAACCGAAGTAAAGTGCCTTGGTGAAATTTGTGTGTAAAGAATTCCTTAGTGACGAAAGTCATGAAAAACGTCAAGGTGTCTTTACTGGTTTATTTTCAAGTTGTCTAATTGTCCTATTAGTTTTTTTCTCGAAAATAGGTAAAAACATTACGTTATTGAAAATAATAACCCTTTATCTTGACTTACCTCATACAAAATAAAACGACTGCTTACACGATATCCTTTCTCGAGTGACCAATATTTTCTTGTGTCTGAAAGCAAAAAATGAAATGGTCGGATCTATGTGCAGACACGTTTTAAAGGACATGCGAGAGCCTTAATACTTAAGAGTAACTGTAACACAGAGGAGGTACTTAGGGCGAAAGTTTACTTAGTAAGATATTAGGACTGGAATCAACACGTCAAATTAAATAGTCGTCAATCTAAGATTTTCAGTCGTCATAGATTACAGAGCTGGTCAATATATAATTATAAAAAATGCCACACTAGGTCGATAGTTATATCTACAGTGTTTAGATTATTATATTTCAGTGTAAAGAAAAACAGCGGTTTATGACAGACATTTTGGTAGTATGACTCTACAATCTTTTGGTATTATTACCCTACAATTATGACGTTTTGGTGGTCAGCAGTGTGCTGTCTGACTTTGTCTGTGTGTAAGGGTAGTCTACATTATAACGCCAATGTGCCATTGAAAACATGGAAACAGCAACGTTACTACATTACACATTAATTATTGTACAAGAATAATACAGAGACACTTTATCATAATGGCTGAATTACAATCGTCTGTCTGACTGGACGTGTCACGAAAAATGTCACAGATGTCCTGAATCTCGGGCAGTAGACTTTCCTGCCTTCCCAAGGGGAGATAACCTGGGATAGTTTATGTGTGTGTATAGATGGTTCGTTGTGTATACAATGAAAGATGCCAGTATTGATTTCCAAACTGTTGTGTATTGTTCTTTTTATGTTGTTCTTACGGATCGTTCGAAGGGAGATAATTCGTTATATCAACCAAATCTCATGATGGATATAAGGTACAAAAACACAACTAGGGAACAGCTTGAGCATAGCCAAAAAATCGGGTCCACACCCCTCGACTCTCGATCTGTTCCTGGTATTTAGGTGTTTATCAAGCTACTAACAATGCTTTTTTTCTCAGATCCACTGATATATGTAAACTGATATGTAATTACTACTACTATACGCACTGTAAAGCACTTATATTTCACGAATATTTTATTTTGCGAACTTACCTCTTCAGACATATTCAAGAATATTTCATTTCGCGATTGTTGATGTAGAAATGACTTTAAATTCGCGATTGACGAGCAATGGGATAATTGGAGTTTGAAGGACGCTGATATCGGTAACCGAATCAATTCGTTCGGTTACCTTAATACAGCTAAGATATTTCTACTGCTTCACTGCCGACGTCCTCAGCCGAGGCCATTCGAATTCCTCATTGTATGTTTCGACCCCTAGCTCGGTACACTCTCGGGATGAGGGGTCCACAGTGATGATCAGTTACTGCGCGTCGGTGATGGGTGTCCAGCTACTTGAGTCTTTCTTCATCCACACCCAGCATGAAGATCTCTCTGCTGCCTTCGCCATCCTCTGCACCGCTGATCTCTTGGTCCTGCCCAACACTCCCAATGCAGCTAGCATTCTCCACACAGACTGTGCGGGGAAGACAATGCATCCCACCTCGAACGGGTAGCTCCAAGTCAGCCACCCTTGCTCCCTGTACTCCATCAGCAATGCATCGTACTTCCCTCTCTTCCGTCAGTGTGCTTCACTGCATCTTTCCTTCCATGGAATTGTCAGCTCTATGACAGTGTCCATTCTTGCCGTTGACTACCAAAGAACCATATCCGGCCAAAGATTGGTTGGTACAATGTTTGGAAAGGTTAGTCCCTTATTAAGGTCTACCGCCTGCTTCCTGTCTCCTGCCTGACAAAGAATTCCGGAAGTTCTCTGTGGTGATGCGGATGTTGGTGTCTCACCTTCCTTCACAAACCTAATCTGTGTATGTCTGGACCTTGGTTGGCTGGCCTTATTCTTTCTTTCCCTTTCCATAGTATCTGCCAACTCCCTTAAGACTTGGTTGTGGCGCCATGTATATCTTCCCTGTGCTAAGCCACCTGACAAGAGGTAAGAATGTGCTTTAATGTTCCTCTCTGTCCACACAGGCGGCTATCAGGTGTTACTGCAAGGTCACATCGGTGGAGATTTGCTGGTGTTGGTAGCACGTCATACACAGACCGGAGGAGGAATTGCAGTTGGATTTGCAAGTACTTCCAGATTTCTGACCATGAAAGTGCACGCGGTTCTGCATCCCATCTTGTTCACGCTCCTTGGGCTCCCAATGCAACTGGTTTGGCCTGCCTTTGTTCTTCATCTCCATTTCTAATTTCCTTCTGGACCATCCTACGCCTTTCCTCCGCGTCAGCTTTTTTCCAGAAGGTGCTCTTAGTTGTAAGTTGCAAATAATTGCGAGGGATTTTTATTCGCGATGGACTCTCCCCAAAGAATTATCGCGAAAATGAATTCCATACGGTGGGATACAATACTTCACAGTTGAAGGTGATAAACTGTAAGAGACCTCAACTATACTTCAATAGTGTATTTGTTTTGAGAGAGTAATTTTTCAATCACTTGAACAACTATTTCGTAGAAAACTATTTTTTTTATAAACACCAGTCGGGATTTCTGCATACTGCTTTTACAGTATATCAGCTAATCAAAATTTGTAATGTTGTGATAAATTTCAACGCTTTTCGAACACTAACATCAACTGACTATTTCGTCTTGTCAGATATTTCAGTCTTCGTAAGACGTTATTTTCTTCAAAACAGAACTGTATATGACATTAATATGATCCCTCCACTCTTAGCGTTTGAGTTTAAGTTCAGCTCTAAATATTCCGATTTACGTCAATAGAAATGAATACATATATATGTGTCTGGAATAAGTTTTACCAATCAAGCCTTAGATCACGAGTTTAAAAGCTGAAGATTCTTTCTCAAGATTATTTGAATTTCATGAATTTCAAGAAATGATTTAGAAGACTTAAATAAAGAGTTATCATCTACAAAAAGACAACCAGCTGATTAAAAGACATCGGCAATATCATAAATGTATAACGGAAGTGTTGAATGTTTTATTCAATATTTATTTGACCCAGAATCTGTACAAATATGTCATCATGCAAGAAGGCTCTCATTCAACATTGTGAAGACTTTAATTCATTCATTCACAAGATCTCTGTAATTAGTATGCCATTAATCAATTAATTAATTAATTCAGTCATTCTGTAATTCATACATTAATTTTTAACTCATTCATAATTTTTTTTATTAATTCATATTAATTGACTTTGCATTGAGTTGTATTTAAAATAAAATACAAATAATTCGTTCATACTTGTTTACAAGTCTAATGTAATATTGCTTTGAGATAACAAATAAGATAGATGAGGCAATTAATGTTAGTGTATACCGCTCGAAAAGCGTTGAAATTTATCACAACATTACAAATTTTAATTAGCTGATATACTGTAGAAGAAGTATGCAGAAATTCTGACTGGTGTTTACAAAAACTAGTTTTCTACGAAATGATTATGCAAGTGCTTGAAAAATTATTCTCTCAAAAACATTTATGAAAGTGAGTAAAAATGAGATTGGTCTATAAGGAAGATGTCTACCACCTTTTTAATAGACTGCAAGCATAACTTCGGCTTTCCAAGTGGCTGAAAAAATACCTATTGTGATATCGACATATAGAAAATAATTACAAGTTAGAAATAAACAGTTTTTGAGGTATTTTTTAACATATGGTGACTAGTAAAAATGTGGTAGTAAAAGTAGAAACACTGAAAACATTATAGAGGCTTAATTATTTACAGGATTTTGATAAAATCAGAATGTCTGCTGACATCAAGTAACTGATGCACGCGAAATTTGTCAAGAGACGAAACCACGAAATCCACCAGTATATCAAATAGACTTTCCCTTGCATATGACTTAGATCAAGTTCGATCTTGTCCCAGACTTCTCTCCCTCACTGTTCTGGGTACGAGGTTCTGTCTAATAAATCCTAATAAATTAGTGGTGTGCTACCTAGATTTCGCCATTAATCTGATTGCGTCCCCTGGTATTACCCAGCATGCATTTGCAGCGTTTATTACCGCCATATATATTCCTGGAACGTTGGTTGCACGTTGCTGTCATTATATTATATCGATTTTGCTGCTAAAATACATTGAATATGAGTGAAAATGGTGAAGTAAGTATAATGATTAAGCAGAGAAATTTTTACAGAACCGACATACGTTGTTACATGTTTATGACTTAGTTTTCCGTAAGGGCACGGAACAAAGATCACATTCATACTAGTTTGTAAATTCAGTTCGGACCTAGTAACGGCGTATTCGTTTTGAAATTTTATATCTGTATACCATATAAACATTGATTGCTATGTTAAGCCTAAGCTCAATGTCTTAAGTGCACAAGCCTAGTATCCACCATATATATATTGACACGCTCAGAAAAAATACAGAATACACTTTGTGTTGAAAACAATGTTGGAGGTTTTACACGCGTACATCGAGAGACTTTTGACAGGCATCAACCAAGTAGATCTTATATGTATAGGAACACTAGAGCATTAACTCTTTGGAGCTCATATTTCGACAAATGTAAATAAAACCAACACATTCGAAGAACATGACATACAAATTCACGTGCAATGAGAAGAGTGGACTTATGTGTACACCAGCTCTGTATAAGTAACCCTAGTAAAATACCGCTTGGCTAGAGAGAACTTCTCTTTAGCTTGATAAGTTGAACATCAGACTAGTAAGCCAGGGATCCTGGGTTCGACTCTTAACGGAGGCATTGGAATTAATGATAATGACCTCTGTTACATCTATGTAGTGTGTTCAGTACTGTTCGGTGTTACCAGAAAAACCCAGTTGAGTTGAACTGTTGGCTCAAGGAAATAATGAAAAAAGACATATAAACAGTTAACGTATATTTATTACCAATGACGAGAAATGACAGTGACGAGAAATAACATTAGAACAGATGCCTACTGCAGCAGCAACAACAAACAGAGACATGACACTCAACACATAAACAACCTTTGAGACAATCCTTCAGCCTTCATACCATTAAACCCTAATAATTCCCCATAGAATATAACTGGTTAACTAACCCACCCGATCCAAAAAGAGAGGAAAATTTCTTTCTCTTTGTTCATGCTGATATTACATAATGGTGTCAGACATGATATCAGTGTGACACAAGTTTAAGAGAAGTTTTATTGACGACTTCCTTGTTGACCCAGTCAGACATGGAGAACAAACATTGGCTAGCAGAAGAAAACATGCATACAAGCCTCAAACAAGCACTGTATTGATTGCAGTGTTAACAATGATTGCATAACAAGAGTTTATAGTATGTGTTTCAGCGGTCAAGGTCTGCATCCAGAGAATCCCGTGACACAGGTGAACATTCTGGAACATCGGTAGGAGAAGAGGACAACAACTCAGAGGCCTCACATTCACTGTCTGTACACTCTTCACCCCTGTCTAGGTCCAAGTCGGGATCTCCATACAATTACAACAATCAGCGTCGTTCAGGTTACTCAAGGTCTCGGTCACCACGCTCCAGATCAAGGTCACCACGCCATCGTAGGAGGAGATCATACAGCAGGTTGATAATATATACAAAGTTTTTGATGTTTGTTAGATGATCTTAAATCTGAATTGACATGATTAATTTGGTTAGATCTTTGAAATAGCAATAGAAAGAAGTTTTCACCTCACAAAGAAAGAATAACGATTTTGCTACAAGAGAAACAGTAATATGCAGAAGAAATAATATATTCTAAGGGAAATTTTAAATACTGTTGAAGAATTGAGAGTTCCTATGATTTTGAAAAATCTAAATCCCCCATGAATTAAAAAGCTGAAAAACTGCTGACCTAAAAAGGACTTGACAGATGTGTCCAAATTCAATAATTTAGACCAAAAGTATTTTTGAAATTGACGATTTTACAGTAAATGGTGTAAATTCAGATGATATTTAGGTGTGTGAAATTAGTTTGGAGAGTTACTTGGTAAGTAGTAAACCTTGATATTGTAAACTTGACAGATCTCGTAGTCGCAGTCGATCTCGATCCCGATCAAGAAGTCCTTATGGAGACCGGAGACGACGGTAAGATGACAACACTTATTTATACCAGCTTCACTAAACTTTAAAAGGACATTCTATTCCACCTGAAAGCCTTTCTACATTCTATGTATGTTTAAAAAAAGACGAAATTCAGTGAAGGTTTCTAGAAAGAAAATTGTCTCTGTGCTTGCAAGCATACTGCAGAACCATCGGTCAACTTTTACTGTTGACTATCAAGTAAAGTTCCAACAGATTTCAATTCATCTTATATCCAAAGTGGGTTTTTTTTCCCCCAGAATCATGATTTTGAAAATACTGTAAATGATGATAATCTATTGATATCTGACTTAGTAACACATTCTTTTGCTCTGTTTTCAGGCCAGGTAAAAGCAGAAGGTAAGCATCAAAATTCTCCGATAAAACTGAACTGATGATAAAAAGTTTTGAAGATTTTTACATACACATTTCTTCAATCCAGTCCACAAAATTATACCATTTATAATGTAATAGAATCAGATTTTGTATTGTGTTAACAGTGCTGTCTCATCACTAGTATGTAAAACTTCATTGTGTATTGGATTCAAATATTTCTATAGTTACAGAGACTATGACAGAGGACGCAGAAATTCCTACAGAAGTCGATCGAGAACACCACCAAGGCGAGGATACAGAGGGAAAAGAGTAAGTTTATATTGCTGCTCTAATGTTATGTAGTAATTGGAAAAAATATTAGTATGTACATGTGTAATGATAGTCCCTGATCAACAAATACACTTTGTGATGTTTTGTTTAATCTATTTATTCATATTTCAGGACACCTCGCCAATGTCAAACAGACGAAGACACCAAGGAAATAGGGTAGGTGAAATAGATTTATCCATTTCCTTAATGAAGCAAAGATGCAGAAGCATATTTTAGTGGTTTAAAGTCGTCATTTTGTTATGAACTTGACACCTGAAGTTACTCAGTTCTGTATAATTGATGTTATGTTGTGACATTGACTCCTGTAATTACTCTGTACTGTATAATTGATGTTATGTTGTGACATTGACACCTGTAATTACTCTGTTCTGTAGAATTGATATTGTTGTTGTGACATTGACACCTGTAATTACTCTGTACTGTAGAATTGATATTGTTGTTGTGACATTGACACCTGTAATTACTCTGTTCTGTAGAATTGATATTGTTGTTGTGACATTGACACCTGTAATTATTCTGTACTGTAGAATTGATATTATTGTTGTGACATTGACACCTGTAATTACTCTGTACTGTAGAATTGATATTGTTGTTGTGACATTGACACCTGTAATTCCTCTGTTCTGTAGAATTGATATTGTTGTTGTGACATTGACACTTGTAATTACTCTCTACTGTAGAATTGATGTTATGTTGTGACATTGACACCTGTAATTACTCTGTACTGTAGAATTGATATTGTTGTTGTGACATTGACACCTGTAATTCCTCTGTTCTGTAGAATTAATATTGTTGTTGTGACATTGACACCTGTTGTTCCTCTGTTCTGTAGAATTGATATTGTTGTTGTGACATTGACACCTGTAATTCCTCTGTTCTGTAGAATTGATATTGTTGTTGTGACATTGACACCTGTTGTTCCTCTGTTCTGTAGAATTGATATTGTTGTTGTGACATTGACACCTGTAATTCCTCTGTTCTGTAGAATTGATATTGTTGTTGTGACATTGACACCTGTTGTTCCTCTGTTCTGTAGAATTGATATTGTTGTTGTGACATTGACACCTGTAATTACTCTGTACTGTAGAATTGATATTGTCGTTGTGACATTGACACCTGTAATTATCCTGTACTGTAGAATTGATGTTATGTTGTGACATTGACACCTGTAATTATCCTGTACTGTAGAATTGATATTGTTGTTGTGACATTGACACCTGTTGTTCCTCTGTTCTGTAGAATTGATATTGTTGTTGTGACATTGACACCTGTAATTACTCTGTACTGTAGAATTGATATTGTTGTTGTGACATTGACACCTGTAATTCCTCTGTTCTGTAGAATTGATATTGTTGTTGTGACATTGACACCTGTTGTTCCTCTGTTCTGTAGAATTGATATTGTTGTTGTGACATTGACACCTGTAATTCCTCTGTTCTGTAGAATTGATATTGTTGTTGTGACATTGACACCTGTTGTACCTCTGTTCTGTAGAATTGATATTGTTGTTGTGACATTGACACCTGTAATTACTCTGTACTGTAGAATTGATATTGTCGTTGTGACATTGACACCTGTAATTATCCTGTACTGTAGAATTGATGTTATGTTGTGACATTGACACCTGTAATTACCCTGTACTGTAGAATTGATATTGTTGTTGTGACATTGACACCTGTAATTATCCTGTACTGTAGAATTGATGTTATGTTGTGACATTGACACCTGTAATTACTCTCTACTGTAGAATTGATATTGTTGTTGTGACATTGACATCTGTAATTACTCTGTACTGTAGAATTGATATTGTTGTTGTGACATTGACACCTGTAATTACTTAGTTCAAAGTCTATTTTAAAGATATTTTGGCTTTCAGGATAACCCAGAACCCACAAGATGCTTAGGTATTTTTGGGTTAAGTCTCTATACACAAGAACGAGACCTTCGTGACGTGTTCTCTCGCTACGGAACGTTAGAAGAAGTACAAGTTGTTTATGATAGACAGGTATGTGTATAGCATGAAGAAAGGAAATTAATATTACAAAGCATCAAGTTGTGAAATGGAGAGATGAAAATCCGCCTGATTCACTGTGACGTCAGTTCGGATAGGTGATTTATAATATTTTGAGATGCCTATATGGTTATTGTCCCGCTCCTGACTTACTCACAGAGCAGGACGTGGGCATTGTTTTTCCAACAGGCATCAACAATTGTATTTAATTTAAGTTGTTATATAATTACAAGTGCTTTTACATAGCAAGAGTATATCAGAATGTGATTTTATTTATAATTTTAGCCAATACAGGATGGTGAATTGGACTTAGTTAATTATCAAACAATTATTTTCTCTGTTCCTCTGTGTTGAAATTAAATGTCTTTTAGAGTACAAATGAAGTGCCATCATAACCAAACATGGAACAGGGAATAACCTTTTATTGTACATAGTTTCATACAAAGGTAAAATTCTATTTTACAGAGTGGTCGTTCAAGAGGATTTGCATTTATCTACTTCAGAAATATTGAAGACTCCATTGAGGTGAGTTAAATGCTGTAGTGATGAGTGTATATTGATCAGTTTATCAGATAAATTCATATTTCATCAAGTTATTAAGACAATACACAGCCATTTCAATACTCTCCCAGTGTCTTTCATATCTAAGTAGAAAGGATTTAAATCCACACCATAGTATCATAACAACATGTTCTACACCCGAGCAGATGCAAGTTTGCGTAGGAGAAGCATTCATGTCAAAGACATTTTCAACTTTTTCAAAGTGCATTAATCTTACTGAAAAAATTAATAATGTAATATCTCAATATTTTACAGGCAAAGGATAGATGCACTGGAAGTGAGATTGATGGACGAAGGATCCGAGTTGACTACTCCATCACTGAGAGAGCACACACACCCACACCAGGAATATACCTTGGCAAACCAACATCGTCAGTATCTTAGGGATATTTCTACCACTACCCTTTCATCAAACCTGTTTCATACCTCTATATAGGATAAATATTATCTGATTTCAGTGACTACTTGAGGGTGGGTCTATAATACTGATGACTGAGGGTGGGGCTATAATGCTGATGGCTGAGGGTGGGGAATGATATCAATGGCTGAGGGGTGGGGTTATAATATTGATGGCTTAGGGTGGGTCTATAATACTGATGACTGCGGGTGGGGCTATAATACTGATGGCTGAGGGTGGGGCTATAATGCTGAGAGTGGGGCTATAATACTGATGGCTGAGGGTGGGGCTATAATACTGATGGCTGTTGATGGGGAATGATATCAATGGCTGAGGGTGGGGCTATAATACTGATGGCAGAGTTTGGGGTTTGATACTGATGGCTGTGGATAGCTCTAGAGTTGTTGGCATATATTGTTTTACAGGAGTGGGTACAGTGGTGGCAGTCGACGGAGATCCCCATCACCTTATCATGGCAGAAGAGGACGGTACAACTCTCGGTCACGATCACGCTCATTTTCTCCACGTAAGTAAAGAAGACATTTTGGTTCAAAAACAGCTTTAAAGACACAACTGTTTGTTTCATTTTTTAGCACTGTGATTAAATCTGTTGCAATCATAAAACAGGGAAACACTATTGAAACTTTGAAGTTGATGTGCATCACCTACAGGACTTGTGTTGTCACAGGCCTTCTACACACAAGATCAAAAAGGAAATATGTAAAGCTCAAAATTCACTGAAATGCTTGTGGTAACTATTCCAAAGTTTTTCATATATTTTGGTGCCATCAAGTCAAATTAACTTGGAGTCTTTACCTGGTAAAGAGATGTATACTTTGATCTTAATTCTGAGATATCGGAGCAAAGCAATGTCAAACAAGCACCTGTCTTATAAATAATGTTCACAGACCGTGAATTCAGAAAAGATCTAGTCAACTATAGGTAATTAACTAACCAAGGAACTTTCCTGACTATTTTCGGAATGGCTTTACTACTCTGAATTGGAAAGATTGGTGATGTTTTACAGAATGTTTGTCAGCTGTACAAAACACAGTTTATTTTACATTTTGCCAGTCTGAGAAAATAATTGTTTGAATAGGAAAGACAGTAACATCACAAATAGTCCGAGTCACGAAGGGCAACACTTTCTTTTCCTAGAAGACAAAAACACTATGATGATAGGAATGTTTGGCTCTATTGCATCTTTTTTTGTTTTGGGAAGTGTTATTGTTTGTCTTTAGTACAATCTTCTATAAGGCGAGAAAGTCTGTGGATAGTCAAGGAGAAGTAAACCACTAACACCAGTTCAAATTATTGAAATGTATGTAACTTGATATGCATAATTCTTAATCAAGTTAAAGATACAGTCATCACTCATAATTTCTCAAGACTTTTATTAAATTAAAATATCTGGAAGTCATTTGTATAACAACAAAAATTAGAAATATGCTATTTTTGTGTTTTTCCAAACAGGTGGTCATTATTGAGAGCTTGATAAAGTTCTCAGCAGGAGGTAGCAGATGTAAATTGTTCAATACCAAGACTGAGCATAGGTGCATGCAGGATCCTTCATGTGGAAATTCTAATATAGGTGTGCGGACGATGGAATCTTTTCTGTGTACATAAAATGCTTCACAACACCCTCAAGAAAACTTAGTGACATGTAGACTGTAATTAGTTGAGCTTGGTGTTGTCTAGACTCATGACATTGTTTTATTTGGGCCTTGTTAGTCTCCCAAATGATTTCATTTTGTTCAGTATTTTTCCAACGTCTATGTACTTTTTTATGAATTTGTTTCTCTGAGGATACAAATGATATCCTGTCTTGATGAGATCTTGTGAGGGATCGTCATAAATGTCTCACATTTTGGGTTAGATTTTTTAATTTGGGTAGCCACTAAACATTTTAAGAATCGAAACATAGGTTTACCTTGAGTTAAATTTTGAAATCTGCCTGTAGTCTTGTACTCGGAGAAGAATGAAATTGTAATCCTCAGTGAGAACACCAGTAATATAATTTGAACCAACTTATGTCTGGGTTTCTGTTAGTTCACCTGTATCGAATTGTACAAGAGAAAAATTGGCAGGTTTTGATGGATATTTATAAGATTTTTTAAGTTAATTGATAAAGTTTGGAAGAATTTGTAATTTGGTTAGAACTTGTGTTGTCTTCAACAAGTAGTGAACAAAATATCTGGGAAGTTTGGTATATAATCACTGATCCTTGTATAAGTAGAATTCTCCTGGATTGTATATAATGACACAAACTGTATTATATTGTTTACTTTTACAAGTTTCTCTATACATTTCATATTGCCCAGCTGTAGAAACTTAATAGAAGTCAATATATCACATGATGGCCATTCAATGTTTGATATTATATTTTTAATGGTTTTTTTTTTTTTTTTGCTATTCACATTGGTGTATAAATATCTAAATTTGTCACTATTCACATATTCAGGTGTGATTTTTAAATTGTGCAAGAAAGAGCAAATATTGACAGCAAAAGCAAATGTGTGCAGTTATCTTAATCAGTCACGTATTTATATCAAACCAAGTCTGTCTGAATGCAAGATTTGGTCCAAATTCAGTCTTCAATTTTTTTAATTTTTGGATTGTAATATCCAGTAAATTGTATGATTTTGAAAAATGCAGAGAAGTAGAACAATTTATACGAAGATTTCTATTGGGATCAAGCTGTTACCTGTCCATGTCAAATATCTATAAGAATATATACCTAGTAATAGAATAAGACCTAACAAGTGTTAGAATTGAAATTTCATTTTAAGCATTCTCTCCTGAAAAAACCAACAAAGAAGAATCTGATTGTATTGTGAAGGGAGATAACTTGTTTGTACTATTGTACTGACTTTTTCTATTTTGCATTATAAAGGATGATGAAGAAAGAAAATTGAAGATTGAAGTAAGAAATTGAAGATCTAGAATGCGCAATGTTCTTCACATGGTGTTATGGGTTGAAGTAGTACCAAAATATGAAGAGAAGAATAAATCAGTTCTGAAGATTGAAGAGGTTCTCTCTAAAGGATAAATTTATTCTGAAGTATAAAGAATGAAAATTGAAGAAAAGTTCTGGAGTAAGAGAAAAAAATATGGGAATAGGCCTTCGATATGCATAAAAAGAATTGAAGATGGCAAAACGAATAGAAGATGGGTTGATGAGATATGAAGCATGTCTGAAGACATCTGTAAATCTTAAAATTGGAAAGAAGAATGAAGTACGTGTGAAGTATAGGGAAGACCGAAAATTAGTGCATGGTTTCTTGGTTGGGTAAGATTGTATTTTTTTCGTTATTCTGTGAAAGAATTATTTTAACTCGTGTAAAATGAAAATATGTGAAGAATTTTTTTAAAATTCAAAATCAATACAGTGTCAGAATGAGTTGACTTTGGAAAGATTTTAACATCAATGGATTTTAAGTTTCTGTATTTGTTCAGATATTCATTTTGCTGTAGATTATTGGCTTTTATAGCAGATTTGTGTAATGAATGATTTGTATGACTAAACTTGGAGAAACAGTTTCTCAAGCGATTCCAGCTTCGTATTGGTAAGTATGGTCATCAACTGCTCTGCAAGTAAAATGGACTGAGGACAAATGTATAAAGGAAAGGAACACACAGGATGAAATATTTACTCCATGGGTGTCTCTTCAACTGGATACAAATCATCAGCTTGTTGAATTTCCTTGTTGAGATTTCAAATTCAATAAAAGAAAATGAAAATCACAGTAATTGTTGTTAACTATTTGCATGTTTTCCCCGTCAATATAGCTGTTAAACATAAAGTAAAAGACGACCCAACAGATGTAGATAGATTCTGAACACAAGATTTCCTTCTGGTATTTCTACACCGTAAAGAGAAGTAGATTCTGAACAAGTTTTCCTACAGATATTTCTACACAGCAAAACTGCTTCCTAGGTTGAGAGATGTTGTTAGAGAAGTCTCTATACACATTTCACTGTATATGCAGTAAAAACTTTGATGATTCAAATTTCTTGAGGAATCAAATGTTTTACCCGCTCAAGACTTTTGTAACATACTACTACTCACCAACCCCTTTATGAATCTTAAGTTTTATAAATCAAACTTTTCAATGTATTGAAGTTTTTCCACAGGTTGTTAGCTATAACAGTCAATGACACTTCATTATTCAAACAAGACATTAACCTGTTTTCCTGTACTCTATACAGGTATTTTAGCCCCTTGGCAGAATTTCACATATTTCAACCCAGAGTGTTGCCCAACAACTGGATTAGGGTAGCACAGTGTTCTCTGTGTTACAAGGCTGGACACAGATTTAAGTTTTAGTGCTTACTTACACACCGTGACATTTAATCAATGAAGAAAATGGGACTTTGTATGATGTTCACAGAATTGACAGAACAGTGAAAACACATATGGGAGGTCTAATTTACAGAACAGTGAAAACACAGGAAATCCTCAACACATTTATGATGATTTCATGCTCAAAGCATCACATTTCATTTGTAAGCAAACTATAAACAAGAGGCTCACGGGCCTTAACAGTCATTAGAAATAAAATACAAGATTTCAAATTTTGAACTTGAGAAGAAGTCGAAAATGTGTTTTCAATATGGTGGCCATGTTGGATTTCGGACCAACCCGAAATTAACAAACTTTGGTCAGGATCATGTCACTATCATTTCAGGTAAGTTTCAGCTCAATGAGAAGAAGTTGAAAATGTTTACGCCGGACAAAAGGCGATCACAGTAGGTCATCAGACCTAATAAAAGCACAAGAAACACTGATGTATCTGTCAATCATGCATGCCCCTATTGAATCAGACTAGCTGTCGTCAGATCATCGGAAATCATCCTTGTCATTTTTTATGACAGAAGAAACATGGTATTAGTGCTGTCATTTCTGGAGAATGTAATTACGTAATTTCTTGTTGATTTCTATGAATTTAAATCTTTTGTTTTTGTTTTAAGATAAAATATCTTAAAATATAAAAATAAAAAGAAATATGAACATGACAATTTCTTTGTAACACACCATGACTGATTCAGAGTCTCAATGTTTTTTTGCTCATTCCTTGGATTCTGAAACGTCATTTAAATGGCTTATTGCATATTTAAAATGTCTTTTGGTTTAAAATACTATAACAACTTGGGAGAGTGTAAGATCTGCATGGAATATTTTCTTTCCATGAATTGTTTTATTGATAAATAGGTCAATAGTCAGTAAAAGTGAGAATTTTTTCCTACAAATTCTTTACATATACACTGCTATATAGTTGGTAATTATCGGAGAGAATTGGATAACATTATATTCACTGTCAATAGAAATAGCACAAAAGTAAATGCACAGCGAACATTTCATCTATACCGGTGAATGAAAACAGACATAATGCCTATATACATGAACATATTTTATATAAATGCACTAGTTCATCAACTTGTGTGAAACTTGATGCCTGTGAACTAGCCCAAAAAAGGCTACTGGTAAATAAGAACAAATGTATATTTAGTCTGAGAAAGAAAATGATGTCATTGCTGTGAAATAGCCTTAGTAATCCTACTCTCAAAATCAAAGACGAATGCCTTTCAAATCCACCGTTTCCAATCGGTTAAAATATGTCCACTGCTGAAGACCTCCCGTCCAAAAGCTTAAATTCAAAAAAAGTTATCTCATGTAACTTAAAGAGAAAACATGTAATTGGATCCAGATTTCTCTCTTCAATTTCGGTGTCATTTCAATGCAAGTGTTCACAATGACTTTAGATTGCAGAGAACTGGGATGATTGTGAAATTTTTTGACCGTGTCTTACTTCCTGAAATAGTGCTTTTGAATTGTTTCAGCATGGACGTGAGGTGTTATATCTTTCAGAGCACTGGATTTCTCTGTCACTTAGTTGTAAACACACATGAACGTATCAAGTCTCACATGTCAATCATGTTTTCTTGTCATTATACATAGATTGTCTTGAAGTTACGGAAACTTCAGTCCTCGTCTTCATTTGGATTGTATGGCAGTAGGTTGGTGAGAGTAACTTTCTTCAGAGTTGGACAGGAGATGTGAAGTGTTTCTTCAATGGATGGCCGAACACGAGTTCCATCAAGGTTAAGAAGCACCAAATTAGGAATCTGGATATGCTGCACACCTATACGATACAAAGCAAAAATTTGAAACATTGACTTTGCAAAGACAACTCAAGCATAACTAAATTGCCCTGCTCTTTTCAGCATATCATGAGAATTAGTAAATATACTTTTGCACCAACAACCTGAAACATGGGTACACTAACACTACAAGTCGTTAAGGTTGGTGCAAAAAAAAAGAGTACAACGAACAACATCCATTCATCAAGAACAGCCAGAAAAGATGTATAAAATACCAAATTCACTCTTTTCTTTATCTGAACTTAATATTACTGCCACACACATGGCCGACATTGACCCTGTGACACTCGCATAACTGACCTTCACCTTGTATACTTTTGTCTCAACAGTATATGACTGACCATGACCTGATGCTACCTGTCTGGCACAATGTGTCCTTACCTCTCTCTGTCCACCGCACCCATATGTCAAATGCTAACTTTACAACAGACTTTGACCTTATATATCTGTGCTGCCTGTATATCTGACCTTGACCTTACCTCTCTGTCACACCTGTATATCTGACCTTGACCTTACCTCTCTCTGTCACACCTGTATATCTGACCTTGACCTTACCTCTCTCTGTCACACCTGTCCGGCTCAGGTTGACTTTGGTTAGATTGATACATCGGTTCAGAGTGCCTTCTTTGAGAAATTCACTTGTTATACTGCCAACAACAAAATAAGATAAATAACTAGAACATATGACATACATAAACAATGAAAGAAATGTCTGCTCCACATGTAGTTTATTTATTTACGTTTGGAAAACTTTCTAGGGATCCTCCTGATCCAAGTAAATGGACTACAACATATATCTACTAATAAAGAATCAATTCAGAAAGAATTTTCTCCACTTTGGAATTTCTCACCATTCACTTTAAAATATTGTTTATTAACTTTGTTCCAGAGGCTAAGTCTAGGCAATGTAAAGTACATTAAAAGATATACAGCTACTGATTCAGACTGCACTCACCATGTGGATGAAAGACTTAGCTCCCTCAGGCCTGTAAAACCTACAAGTCACAACCATTCTATGTTAACAGAATAGAGACAAAATGTACAACACATGAAACTCTTTAAACAACTAGACCAATGTCGAGGAAGGGCCCCGCATAATACCTACCCCTTATGATTGAGTTTCTTAATATTAAGAAATATATGGACAGGTGTCAAGTATTGAAAGCAACTTTCATCAAAATCCAATGAAAATGGACAGATGGACAGATATATGGATCGACGGACAGGGAAACGGACGGACAGACAGATGGACAGGGTGAACATTGAACTCGAATGAGGGGCTTATGTACCAAGTATCACAAAGCAAGTTTTAAAGAAATCCCAAATCATTCCTTCAGAAGATATTCTCTGTAAAACATTCAGCCAATCAGATTGCAGCAGCCTCATTAAATATGCGCGGAATTTGGCGAACATCGAACTTGAGCAAGGGACTTATGTACCAAGTATCATAAGCATGTTTCATCGAAATCCCATCATTCCTTCTCAAGATATCGCGTGGAAAGCGAAACCGACAGACATGTAAAACATTCAGCCAATCAGATTGCAGCAGCCTCATTAAATATGCGCGGAATTTGGCGAACATCGAACTTGAGCAAGGGACTTATGTACCAAGTATCATAAGCATGTTTCATGTAAAACATGTAAAACATTCAGCCAATCAGATTGCAGCAGCCTCATTAAATATGCGCGGAATTTGGCGAACATCGAACTTGAGCGAGGGACTTATGAACCAAGTATCATAAGCAAGTTTCATCGAAATCTCATCATTCCTTCTCAAGATATCGTGCGGAAAGCGAAACGGACAGACAGACGGGCGGGCAGACGGACAGACGGACAAGGTGATTACTATAGGGCACCCGCATCGCGATGCGGGGCCCTAATTATATGTTTACTTCTACATAATCTCACTGCTAAAGAGGGACAATATTACACTGATAACAGACCTTTTCCATCCAGGCCTGCTAACGATCAAGATGGATTTTCCTCTCTGTCAAATCATAAGAAATTTCAAGGAAAATAAAGTCGGATATAATTTGCGACTTTAATGTGTTGATAACGATTATTAATTACAAGAGATTCCCGAGGGATTTTGGCGCCCACCATTCTTTGATCTTTATATGCTCATCATTTCTATTCTCATCTCTGTTTTTGCTCTAATGATAAGACATTTGAACATTCCTTTACCTGCCAAATCCAAAATGGCTGCCTCATCAGTCCCAAAATCAAATAAGCACAAGGAGAAACCAAAGGGAACATACGTATGAAATTTGAGAAAAATCCATCCTATATTTCTTAAGAATTAGCGATAACAGAAATTGTTTACTGACGGATGACAGACCACTGGCAAAAATCGATTTTAATAGCCCACCATCTGATGACAGTGGGCTAATAAAAGATACTGTTTTCAATCTCGTATATCGTCAGACTGTTCTTACTTTTTATCACAGCAGCTCCTTGATCAGATACATTGGTTTTGTCAAGGTATAAAACTTCAAGGTGTTGTAGGCCTGTTAAATTAGAAATTGAATTCAGGTACAAAAAATAAAATGATGATCATCATTTACTGTTAACTGATATTTGTAATCTACATGATACCAATAGATAACTGATACATGTGATACAAACATCAGGCAGCAAGTCATGACAATTAAAAACAGACTACTATAGTCAAGTGGTGGAATATCACTGGATAAATGTAAACTTTGTGACAAGTTCTAAATCCTAATCTTTACCATCACATGAATCCATTTATACATTCATCCTTTGTACAGACAGTATAAACCAAACTTCTTCAGTACCTCAGCATCCAGTAAATATACCAATTAATAAGTTAATTAATCAATCAATTTTAGACAGTCAAAATGATCATGCACCGTTTACTTCTAAACTTCTATTTACCAGATAATTTCAGGGATTTTATATTTTCCTCAGGTTAAATTGGAAAGGATCATGACTCACCTTCTAAAAACAACATTCCCTGGTCTGTTATCTTTGTATTGACAAGAAGTAATCGCCGCAAACTACAATGGAGTCACAGTATATCTCCATTGTTTTATTGTTCATATTGTTATTTACATGTTTTGTTTACTTTAAAAGTTTGGTGTTAATAAAATATCTAACCAAGCAATGAGTTTTTATACTGAAAACGTCCATAATAAAAAAATCCTTAAAACTATTATTTTTTCATTAAATGTTATCAATTTGAGCAGAATTTCCACAGTTAGCTTGACGCAAAAATTGCAATGGTCTGTCTTATCTAATCTTTACCACATCAGGACTAATCTCTTGTGTGTAACTAGTTTTTAATGCAAAGTAGATCAGTCCAGAAATTTTAAAACAATTTTAAGATTACAGAAGGTACATCAGAAGAATATAGTCTCTAGTCTGTATTATATACCTGGATCTGAAGAATATAGTCTCTAGTCTGTATTATATACCTGGATCTGAAGAATATAGTCTCTAGTCTCTGTATTATATACCTGGATCTGGAGAATATAGTCTCTAGTCTGTATTATATACCTGGATCTGAAGAATATAGTCTCTAGTCTGTATTATATACCTGGATCTGAAGAATATAGTCTCTAGTCTGTATTATATACCTGGATCTCAAGAATATAGTCTCTAGTCTGTATTATATACCTGGATCTGAAGAATATAGTCTCTAGTCTGTATTATATACCTGTATCTGAAGAATATAGTCTCTAGTCTGTATTATATACCTGGATCTGAAGAATATAGTCTCTAGTCTCTGTATTATATACCTGGATCTGAAGAATATAGTCTCTAGTCTGTATTATATACCTGGATCTGAAGAATATAGTCTCTAGTCTGTATTATATACCTGGATCTGAAGAATATAGTCTCCAGTCTCTGTATTATATACCTGGATCTGAAGAATATAGTCTCCAGTCTCTGTATTATATACCTGGATCTGAAGAATATAGTCTCTAGTCTGTATTATATACCTGGATCTGAAGAATATAGTCTCTAGTCTGTATTATATACCTGGATCTGAAGAATATAGTCTCTAGTCTGTATTATATACCTGGATCTGAAGAATATAGTCTCTAGTCTCTGTATTATATACCTGGATCTGAAGAATATAGTCTCTAGTCTGTATTATATATCTGGATCTGCAGAATATAGTCTCTAGTCTGTATTATATACCTGGATCTGAAGAATATAGTCTCTAGTCTGTGTTATATACCTGGATCTGAAGAATATAGTCTCCAGTCTCTGTATTATATACCTGGATCTGAAGAATATAGTCTCTAGTCTGTATTATATACCTGGAGAATATAGTCTCTAGTCTGTATTATATACCTGGAATATAGTCTCCAGTCTCTGTATTATATACCTGGATCTGGAGAATATAGTCTCCAGTCTCTGTATTATATACCTGGATCTGAAGAATATAGTCTCTAGTCTGTATTATATACCTGGATCTGAAGAATATAGTCTCTAGTCTGTATTATATACCTGGATCTGAAGAATATAGTCTCTAGTCTGTATTATATACCTGGATCTGAAGAATATAGTCTCCAGTCTCTGTATTATATACCTGGATATGAAGAATATAGTCTCCAGTCTCTGTATTATATACCTGGATCTGAAGAATATAGTCTCCAGTCTCTGTATTATATACCTGGATCTGAAGAATATAGTCTCTAGTCTGTATTATATACCTGGATCTGAAGAATATAGTCTCTAATCTGTATTATATACCTGGATCTGAAGAATATAGTCTCCAGTCTCTGTATTATATACCTGGATCTGAAGAATATAGTCTCCAGTCTCTGTATTATATACCTGGATCTGAAGAATATAGTCTCTAGTCTGTATTATATACCTGGATCTGAAGAATATAGTCTCTAGTCTGTATTATATACCTGGATCTGAAGAATATAGTCTCCAGTCTCTGTATTATATACCTGGATCTGAAGAATATAGTCTCCAGTCTGTATTATATACCTGGATCTGAAGAATATAGTCTCTAGTCTGTATTATATACCTGGATCTGAAGAATATAGTCTCTAGTCTGTATTATATACCTGGATCTGAAGAATATAGTCTCCAGTCTCTGTATTATATACCTGGATCTGGAGAATATAGTCTCCAGTCTCTGTATTATATACCTGGATCTGGAGAATATAGTCTCTAGTCTCTGTATTATATACCTGGATCTGAAGAATATAGTCTCTAGTCTGTATTATATACCTGGATCTGAAGAATATAGTCTTTAGTCTGTATTATATACCTGTATCTGAAGAATATAGTCTCCAGTCTCTGTATTATATACCTGGATCTGGAGAATATAGTCTCCAGTCTCTGTATTATATACCTGGATCTGGAGAATATAGTCTCCAGTCTCTGTATTATATACCTGGATCTGGAGAATATAGCTTTTTCAGGTTTATGATACTTACCTAGATATCTTACCAACATGTGACATTCCCTCATCACCAACATTGATATAATTTGTCAAATCTAATGTAGTTAACTGAAAATCTGAAAAACAGAAAATTAAAAATCTGAGACTAACAGTATTGTATGGAGTGCTCTTATTATTCATGTAACATTCACTTGTAAGTGAATAATGAAGTTGATGAATGGGATTTATTTCAGCTGTTTTTTTAGATTACTATATTTACATAAATCATTTGGAACTCTTAATTTTCATTTGTTCATTTTCTGATCAGATTTAAAAAGATTTTCGATTTCAAATGATCCTAAACGAATTTCGTGATAACAATGAATAATATTTCAAATTTTATATAAAATATTTATGTAACAATATGTACCAAGTTGTGGAAGAAGAGACCTTGGCCTGCCAAACACAAGAATCCATCATTGATACTCCATAGGGCAGTGATTGTGTGAAAGCAACTGTGGTGTATGTCATAATTTCATTGGAACCCACAGCAGAACAGAGGACAATTCTAATAGCTAATTAAAGGGTATGGAGCTGAGTTACATTGAAGTGATCAGGCCCAAGTAAATGTGTGCAGCATGTAGTGAGAGACTCCAACAAAATTCTAAATCTTACTTGTAATAAACAACATTCCCCTGTCTGTGGTCGTCACCCTGCTTGGTAAATTCTAACTCTTACTTGTAATAAATGACATTCCCCGGTCTGTGGTCGTCACCCTGCTTGGTAAATTCTAACTCTTACTTGTAATAAATGACATTCCCCTGTCTGTGGTCGTCACCCTGCTTGGTAAATTCTAACTCTTACTTGTAATAAATGACATTCCCCGGTCTGTGGTCGTCACCCTGCTTGGTAAATTCTAACTCTTACTTGTAATAAACAACATTCCCCTGTCTGTGGTCGTCACCCTGCTTGGTAAATTCTAACTCTTACTTGTAATAAATGACATTCCCCTGTCTGTGGTCTTCACCCTGCTTGGTAAATTCTAACTCTTACTTGTAATAAATGACATTCCCCGGTCTGTGGTCGTCACCCTGCTTGGTAAATTCTAAATCTTACTTGTAATAAATGACATTCCCCGGTCTGTGGTCGTCACCCTGCTTGGTAAGTTGAGTGCATGGAGCCTTAGATCTGTAAACAGAAATTATAACATTTAAAACATTAAATAAACACACAGAAAATTATTTGATAATTAATGTGAAACATAATCTTGTGACAACCTTTATGACAAAGGTCTTTACATGAAATCTAAATTTTAAGCTAGATTTTATTTCACTGAAGACAGAATACTATGTAAAGAAAGAGAATATACTGGATTTACTTATCAGATCTAATCTCTTAAAATAAAAACTTTTCCTTAAGAAAAAATACATCAAGTAATTCTCAAGAAATAGCAATAACAAACTTTCAAAGTCAAATTCCAAGATGGCAGCCTTTTGGCCATTTTGTTTTTCTGATCAGACCCAAAATGAAATGGGCACAACTATGTACAAAAGGGAACTTACATATGAAATCTGAGAGAGATCCATCCTGTACTTCTTAAGAAATAGCAATAAGAAACTTTCAAAGTAAAAAAAAACCAAGATGGCTGGCTGTCGGTCATTCTAATTTTTCTGATCCGACCTAAAATCAAACTGGGACAACCAGAGACCAAAGGGAATCTACACATGGAATTTATGAAAGATCCATTTAGTACTTCTCAAGAAATAGTGATAACAAACTTTCAAAGTTAAAATACAAGATGGCTGTCTGTCAGCAATTTTGTTTTTTTTTATCAGACCCAAAATCAAACAGGCACAACTATGGACCATGGGGAACCTACATATGAAACTTAAGTGAGATCCATCCCAAGAAAAATCTCAAGAAAAAGCAATCTCAAAATCATACAGGCACAACTAGACATTTCAAAATATTGATAACACACAGTGTTCTGCATCATATTACAGATAAATGGAAACTGTGGAAGACATCATATACTATCAATAATGAACGCTGTTCTGCACTATCTTAACCAGACTAGTGCCAGTGATAGAACAGCATCAGACTTTAATACCTCGGGTTGATCCCTATATGAAGCTGTTTGTGTTTCTCAGATTGTCCTGTACCGTTTTGGTCGTGTCCTCTGTCACTAAAATGATATTGTTTTGGATTTGACAGTCCTCTACATTGTTTATTGATAAGGAGACCTGCTTCAAAATAACACTGACTGTTCATGATATGATAACCTCAGTAATCTGTCATCACTTTGGTTTATTGATTAAAGCTGTAGACAGCAGGTTAAGGACAACGATGGATGTTTTCTGTGTGTGATATACCCAGACACTGGAGTGTCTGACACATAATAACATGGAGTCAGTGACATGTTACCTTGGATATACTGTAGAGCCTGGTCACCGTGGATGTTTTCTGTGTGTGATATACCCAGACACTGGAGTGTCTGACACATAATAACATGGAGTCAGTGACATGTTACCTTGGATATACTGTAGAGCCTGGTCACCGTGGATGTTTTCTGTGTGTGATATACCCAGACACTGGAGTGTCTGACACATAATAACATGGAGTCAGTGACATGTTACCTTGGATATATTGTAGAGCCTGGTCACCGTGGATGTTTTCTGTGTGTGATATACCCAGACACTGGAGTGTCTGACACATAATAACATGGAGTCAGTGACATGTTACCTTGGATATACTGTAGAGCCTGGTCACCGTGGATGTTTTCTGTGTGTGATATACCCAGACACTGGAGTGTCTGACACATAATAACATGGAGTCAGTGACATGTTACCTTGGATATACTGTAGAGCCTGGTCACCGTGGATGTTTTCTGTGTGTGATATACCCAGACACTGGAGTGTCTGACACATAATAACATGGAGTCAGTGACATGTTACCTTGGATATATTGTAGAGCCTGGTCACCGTGGATGTTTTCTGTGTGTGATATACCCAGACACTGGAGTGTCACACATAATAACATGGAGTCAGTGACATGTTACCTTGGATATATTGTAGAGCCTGGTCACCGTGGATGTTTTCTGTGTGTGATATACCCAGACATTGAAGTGTATCACTGTGACACAAACATAACATGGAGTCAGTGACATGTTACCTTGGATATACTGTAGAGCCTGGTCACCATGGATATTTTCTGTGTGTGATATACCCAGACATTGAAGTGTATCACTGTGACACAAACATAACATGGAGTCAGTGACATGTTACCTTGGATATATTGTAGAGCCTGGTCACCGTGGATATTTTCTGTGTGTGATATACCCAGACATTGAAGTGTCTCACTGTGACACACACATAACATGGAGTCAGTGACTATGGATGTGTGGGCAACATCCAATGTCTCCAGGTGGTTGAGATCCTGTAACCCAGACAATCCACTAACCTGTGAAAAGGGACAGAAATTACTGTAAAACAAGAATTCAACTACTTACAATGACCAGTGATTTGATTCTTTTGTCATAATGAAAAGTACAACCTCCATTTAAGAACTATATATATTGATCTTTCCAAAACATTAGGCATTCATCATTCATTTGAAAGAAATTTTGCCTTTGATATTTCTCTATCTTGCCTCAAAGTTCAGAACTTTTTTGGACATTATATAATACTTCAATTATATAAATATAACAATTAAAACATATATCGTTTTTAATTGTGATGATAATCATGTCCTGATAATCAGGAATTAAGAAATTGAATAAAACAGTCAGTACAATCTGTTATCATCAATATTTCCAGTAACAACACACAACCAAGTGTTGACCCGACACATCACAAATCAATATTACCTGTGTATGTTCCAAATACAAACTTTTGAGGGCTGGCAAATCTGTAAAACACAAATCAAAATAGGATATTGACAAAATATAATATACTAAAGGAAATGATCTTAATTTCTTTATTTTATAAGAATTTTGTCATACTCGTTATACTAATAGAATCTGTTGCATTTTTTCAGAGTAAGAGTTTTTCAGTAAGATCACAGATTTCAAACACATTTCTGTTTTGATGAAATATTTTCTAAATGTGAACAGGCTGATTGTGAGTAGATTGTGTATTAGTAGGTTTGATTATGTATTGTAAATGTGTATTTCTGTCATCTTTTAAATTAAGTAAATGAAAGGTGTCCAGGTGAGTTAACTTTCAGGTGTAGTATGACTTTCTCTGTGTTGTGATGTTTGTGTGTTATCTATAACAGGTGTGGTATGACTTTCTCTGTGTTCTGATGTTTGTGTGTTATCTATAACAGGTGTGGTATGACTTTCTCTGCGTTCTGATGTTTGTGTGTTATCTATAACAGGTGTGGTATGACTTTCTCTGTGTTCTGATGTTTGTGTGTTATCTATAACAGGTGTGGTATGACTTTCTCTGCGTTCTGATGTTTGTGTGTTATCTATAACAGGTGTGGTATGACTTTCTCTGCGTTCTGATGTTTGTGTGTTATCTATAACAGGTGTGGTATGACTTTCTCTGTGTTGTGATGTTTGTGTGTTATCTATAACAGGTGTGGTATGACTTTCTCTGTGTTGTGATGTTTGTGTGTTATCTATAACAGGTGTGGTATGACTTTCTCTGCGTTCTGATGTTTGTGTGTTATCTATAACAGGTGTGGTATGACTTTCTCTGCGTTGTGATGTTTGTGTGTTATCTATAACAGGTGTGGTATGACTTTCTCTGCGTTCTGATGTTTGTGTGTTATCTATAACAGGTGTGGTATGACTTTCTCTGCGTTCTGATGTTTGTGTGTTATCTATAACAGGTGTGGTATGACTTTCTCTGTGTTGTGATGTTTGTGTGTTATCTATAACAGGTGTGGTATGACTATCTCTGTGTTGTTATGTTTGTGTGTTATCTATAACAGGGGAGTTACCTTTCAGGTGTGGTATGATTTTCTCTGCGTTCTGATGTTTGTGTGTTATCTATAACAGGTGTGGTATGACTTTCTCTGCGTTCTGATGTTTGTGTGTTATCTATAACAGGTGTGGTCTTTCTGCGTTCTGATGTTTGTGTGTTATCTATAACAGGTGTGGTATGACTTTCTCTGTGTTGTGATGTTTTGTGTGTTATCTATAACAGGTGTGGTATGACTTTCTCTGTGTTGTGATGTTTGTGTGTTATCTATAACAGGTGTGGTATGACTACTCTTTTCTGAGGTGTGTGTATGTGGTATGACTTTCTCTGCGTTCTGATGTTTGTGTGTTATCTATAACAGGTGTGGTATGACTTTCTCTGTGTTCTGATGTTTGTGTGTTATCTATAACAGGTGTGGTATGACTTTCTCTGCGTTCTGATGTTTGTGTGTTATCTATAACAGGTGTGGTATGACTTTCTCTGTGTTGTGATGTTTGTGTGTTATCTATAACAGGTGTGGTATGACTTTCTCTGCGTTCTGATGTTTTGTGTGTTATCTATAACAGGTGTGGTATGACTTTCTCTGTGTTGTGATGTTTGTGTGTTATCTATAACAGGTGTGGTATGACTATCTCTGTGTTGTTATGTTTGTGTGTTATCTATAACAGGGGAGTTACCTTTCAGGTGTGGTATGACTTTCTCTGCGTTCTGATGTTTATGTGTTATCTATAACAGGTGTGGTATGACTTTCTCTGCGTTCTGATGTTTGTGTGTTATCTATAACAGGTGTAGTATGACTTTCTCTGTGTTGTGATGTTTGTGTGTTATCTATAACAGGTGTGGTATGACTTTCTCTGCGTTCTGATGTTTGTGTGTTATCTATAACAGGTGTGGTATGACTTTCTCTGTGTTGTTATGTTTGTGTGTTATCTATAACAGGTGTGGTATGACTATCTCTGTGTTGTTATGTTTGTGTGTTATCTATAACAGGGGAGTTACCTTTCAGGTGTGGTATGACTTTCTCTGCGTTGTGATGTTTGTGTGTTATCTATAACAGGTGTGGTATGACTTTCTCTGTGTTGTGATGTTTGTGTGTTATCTATAACAGGTGTGGTATGACTTTCTCTGTGTTCTGATGTTTGTGTGTTATCTATAACAGGTGTGGTATGACTTTCTCTGCGTTCTGATGTTTGTGTGTTATCTATAACAGGTGTGGTATGACTTTCTCTGTGTTGTGATGTTTGTGTGTTATCTATAACAGGTGTGGTATGACTATCTCTGTGTTGTTATGTTTGTGTGTTATCTATAACAGGGGAGTTACCTTTCAGGTGTGGTATGACTTTCTCTGCGTTCTGATGTTTGTGTGTTATCTATAACAGGTGTGGTATGACTTTCTCTGCGTTCTGATGTTTGTGTGTTATCTATAACAGGTGTGGTATGACTTTCTCTGTGTTGTGATGTTTGTGTGTTATCTATAACAGGTGTGGTATGACTTTCTCTGCGTTCTGATGTTTGTGTGTTATCTATAACAGGTGTGGTATGACTTTCTCTGCGTTCTGATGTTTGTGTGTTATCTATAACAGGTGTGGTATGACTATCTCTGCGTTCTGATGTTTGTGTGTTATCTATAACAGGTGTGGTATGACTTTCTCTGTGTTGTGATGTTTGTGTGTTATCTATAACAGGTGTGGTATGACTTTCTCTGCATTCTGATGTTTGTGTGTTATCTATAACAGGTGTGGTATGACTTTCTCTGTGTTGTGATGTTTGTGTGTTATCTATAACAGGTGTGGTATGACTTTCTCTGCGTTCTGATGTTTGTGTGTTATCTATAACAGGTGTGGTATGACTTTCTCTGTTCTGATGTTTGTGTGTTATCTATAACAGGTGTGGTATGACTTTCTCTGTGTTGTGATGTTTGTGTGTTATCTATAACAGGTGTTGGTATGACTTTCTCTGCGTTGTGATGTTTGTGTGTTATCTATAACAGGTGTGGTATGACTTTCTCTGCGTTGTGATGTTTGTGTGTTATCTATAACAGGTGTGGTATGACTTTCTCTGCGTTCTGATGTTTGTGTGTTATCTATAACAGGTGTGGTATGACTTTCTCTGTGTTGTGATGTTTGTGTGTTATCTATAACAGGTGTGGTATGACTTTCTCTGTGTTCTGATGTTTGTGTGTTATCTATAACAGGTGTGGTATGACTTTCTCTGTGTTGTGATGTTTGTGTGTTATCTATAACAGGTGTGGTATGACTATCTCTGTGTTGTGATGTTTGTGTGTTATCTATAACAGGTGTGTGTATGACTTTCTCTGCGTTCTGATGTTTGTGTGTTATCTATAACAGGTGTGGTATGACTTTCTCTGCGTTCTGATGTTTGTGTGTTATCTATAACAGGTGTGGTATGACTTTCTCTGTGTTGTGATGTTTGTGTGTTATCTATAACAGGTGTGGTATGACTTTCTCTGCGTTCTGATGTTTGTGTGTTATCTATAACAGGTGTGGTATGACTTTCTCTGCGTTCTGATGTTTGTGTGTTATCTATAACAGGTGTGGTATGACTATCTCTGTGTTGTTATGTTTGTGTGTTATCTATAACAGGGGAGTTACCTTTCAGGTGTGGTATGACTTTCTCTGCGTTCTGATGTTTGTGTGTTATCTATAACAGGTGTGGTATGACTTTCTCTGCGTTCTGATGTTTGTGTGTTATCTATAACAGGTGTGGTATGACTTTCTCTGCGTTGTGATGTTTGTGTGTTATCTATAACAGGTGTGGTATGTGCGTTCTGATGTTTGTGTGTTATCTATAACAGGTGTGGTATGACTTTCTCTGTGTTGTGATGTTTGTGTGTTATCTATAACAGGTGTGGTATGACTATCTCTGTGTTGTTATGTTTGTGTGTTATCTATAACAGGGGAGTTACCTTTCAGGTGTGGTATGACTTTCTCTGCGTTCTGATGTTTGTGTGTTATCTATAACAGGTGTGGTATGACTTTCTCTGCGTTCTGATGTTTGTGTGTTATCTATAACAGGTGTGGTATGACTTTCTCTGTGTTGTGATGTTTGTGTGTTATCTATAACAGGTGTGGTATGACTTTCTCTGCATTCTGATGTTTGTGTGTTATCTATAACAGGTGTGGTATGACTTTCTCTGCATTCTGATGTTTGTGTGTTATCTATAACAGGTGTGGTATGACTATCTCTGCGTTCTGATGTTTGTGTGTTATCTATAACAGGTGTGGTATGACTTTCTCTGTGTTGTGATGTTTGTGTGTTATCTATAACAGGTGTGGTATGACTTTCTCTGCATTCTGATGTTTGTGTGTTATCTATAACAGGTGTGGTATGACTTTCTCTGTGTTGTGATGTTTGTGTGTTATCTATAACAGGTGTGGTATGACTTTCTCTGCGTTCTGATGTTTGTGTGTTATCTATAACAGGTGTGGTATGACTTTCTCTGCGTTCTGATGTTTGTGTGTTATCTATAACAGGTGTGGTATGACTTTCTCTGTGTTGTGATGTTTGTGTGTTATCTATAACAGGGGAGTTACCTTTCAGGTGTGGTATGACTTTCTCTGCGTTGTGATGTTTGTGTGTTATCTATAACAGGTGTGGTATGACTTTCTCTGTGTTGTGATGTTTGTGTGTTATCTATAACAGGTGTGGTATGACTTTCTCTGCGTTCTGATGTTTGTGTGTTATCTATAACAGGTGTGGTATGACTTTCTCTGTGTTGTGATGTTTGTGTGTTATCTATAACAGGTGTGGTATGACTATCTCTGTGTTGTTATGTTTGTGTGTTATCTATAACAGGGGAGTTACCTTTCAGGTGTGGTATGACTTTCTCTGCGTTCTGATGTTTGTGTGTTATCTATAACAGGTGTGGTATGACTTTCTCTGTGTTGTGATGTTTGTGTGTTATCTATAACAGGTGTGGTATGACTTTCTCTGCGTTCTGATGTTTGTGTGTTATCTATAACAGGTGTGGTATGACTTTCTCTGCGTTCTGATGTTTGTGTGTTATCTATAACAGGTGTGGTATGACTATCTCTGTGTTGTGATGTTTGTGTGTTATCTATAACAGGTGTGGTATGACTATCTCTGTGTTGTGATGTTTGTGTGTTATCTATAACAGGTGTGGTATGACTTTCTCTGTGTTGTGATGTTTGTGTGTTATCTATAACAGGTGTGGTATGACTTTCTCTGCGTTCTGATGTTTGTGTGTTATCTATAACAGGTGTGGTATGACTTTCTCTGTGTTCTGATGTTTGTGTGTTATCTATAACAGGTGTGGTATGACTTTCTCTGTGTTGTGATGTTTGTGTGTTATCTATAACAGGTGTGGTATGACTTTCTCTGTGTTGTGATGTTTGTGTGTTATCTATAACAGGTGTGGTATGACTTTCTCTGCGTTCTGATGTTTGTGTGTTATCTATAACAGGTGTGGTATGACTTTCTCTGTGTTGTGATGTTTGTGTGTTATCTATAACAGGTGTGGTATGACTTTCTCTGCATTCTGATGTTTGTGTGTTATCTATAACAGGTGTGGTATGACTTTCTCTGCGTTCTGATGTTTGTGTGTTATCTATAACAGGTGTGGTATGACTGATGTTTGTGTGTTATCTATAACAGGTGTGGTATGACTATCTCTGTGTTGTGATGTTTGTGTGTTATCTATAACAGGTGTGGTATGACTATCTCTGTGTTGTGATGTTTGTGTGTTATCTATAACAGGTGTGGTATGACTTTCTCTGCGTTCTGATGTTTGTGTGTTATCTATAACAGGTGTGGTATGACTTTCTCTGCGTTCTGATGTTTGTGTGTTATCTATAACAGGTGTGGTATGACTATCTCTGTGTTGTGATGTTTTGTGTGTTATCTATAACAGGTGTGGTATGACTTTCTCTGTGTTGTGATGTTTGTGTGTTATCTATAACAGGTGTGGTATGACTTTCTCTGCGTTCTGATGTTTGTGTGTTATCTATAACAGGTGTGGTATGACTTTCTCTGCGTTCTGATGTTTGTGTGTTATCTATAACAGGTGTGGTATGACTTTCTCTGTGTTGTGATGTTTGTGTGTTATCTATAACAGGTGTGGTATGACTTTCTCTGCGTTCTGATGTTTGTGTGTTATCTATAACAGGTGTGGTATGACTTTCTCTGTGTTGTGATGTTTGTGTGTTATCTATAACAGGTGTGGTATGACTTTCTCTGCGTTCTGATGTTTGTGTGTTATCTATAACAGGTGTGGTATGACTTTCTCTTTGTTGTGACAGGGGAGTTACCTTTAAGGTGTGGTATTAGTTTCTCTGTAACCTGTGTTTTGTTGAGATTAAGGTGTTGTAAACAGGTGGGAGAGAATGACAGGTACTCCATCATGCCCGAATCTGTGACGCCTGTCTCCTCTAGTGACAAAGCTGTCAGACACTTATACTCTGAAACAGAAACCAAACTTACAGCTAATCTGGCTTTAAACAGTAACAAACTGACATCACAAAAAGTCTTGTACAAAGTATATTATCTGTGAAAGGAAACCTTTGATCTTCCAATCAATTATAAATAGGAAAACAATGGGCATGATATATCAGCATTGTTTTAATCAGAATTATACAACTCCACTGTCACAGTCCAAGATCAAATTCAAGCTACAATAATTAATAATTTACTGAAATATGGAATCTAAAATTTGATGAATTTTCTCGTTGATATGGACATTTCATACCATAACTCTTGATCTATTTCCTGCCCTCCCCCAACTTGTTTATATTAACTGCCAACACATTTAGAGTCCACATTTCTGTTTTATCATATGTTTAAACTGTACCCCTCCAAATACTGTACTGACAAAAAGCATAATCATAATGCTACCATTAAAGGTCAACAGCTAAACATTTGTTTGAGTAAAGGTCAACACTGGTAAACTTACCCATTATAACAGCTAGACATTTGTTTGAGATCTGCTTACAACTGCTCAAATCAAGGTGTTTCAATTTCTTTAAGACTTGAAAAAGAAATAATAAAATGTTATATTACTACTGATATTTTTAAAGCTGTACATCCATGTGAGGTAAACATAATTAACTTCAGAGTCGGTTTATCACTGATATATAATCAGGACAGCTATATGTATGGTGATGATTGTAATAGTGAGATATCTAAAGCTTTAACATCATGTGGTTGAGACAACACAACAAACCAATTATTAAAATGGAATTTTGGATGATGGAAAAAACCACAATCTCAACTGAATTATTATCAGCACATATTTGAAATTTTTTGAGCAAGACTTGATTCTGTTGAAAGAGAAACAGACATACCAACGAGGGGTCTGAGACCAGCGTCTGTGATAAGAGGACATGCTCGAAGACTAAGGTGTGCAAGATGAGTATGAAACCTACAACAAAGAGATTTTAATTTCAATAACAACAAATCTAAATAACATAAACATATCATCCATGAAATGTTTTCATTCAGGTATATCTAACATATGCCTTTCTCTTTAAAAAATATTAATAAATCATCCAACAACAGGTAAAAAATGCAACAATACCTTATTACAAATTAAACAAGATACTGAGGGCCTTCATACAGTCAGCAGAATACTGGAAAAGTTTTTGTTATGTCATAGATGTTAACTTGTCAACAAAGGAAGGTAACAAACCACACTAAACATGTAATGTAAATAAAAAATGTGTTTTCACATCCACTTCTATATTATGTTTATAATTTTAACCATGTTTGCATTATCTCCACTAGAAATTAAACAAATAATGCTCAATACTGTGAGTTTTTATTTAAACTAGTATATTTTAATAAACTTTACCCCTCCCTGAGCAGACCCTGGATAATTTAAAAGCATCTTAAGACTCTACCATCCATGCACTCAGTATGTGACTTTACCATACCTGGATGTTGAGGAAATATTTGAAATAAGGAGTCAATTTGACCCATTTTTGCCCCTGGGGGTCAGAAAGAGTCAATATATACATACCATCAAAATGTCACCATATCATACTAAACATTCTAACCAAGTTTGAGTTATTTACCCTTAGCAACAGAACTCATTAAGGTCAAAATTGTAATTTCCTGTGTGAATACTTTTACCCTTTCTCCACATAGAAATGTGAAACCCTGAGATCGTGAAATTTACAATTTTGGATGAAAGTGCCTTTTAGTTAAAACTCTTCCATTTAACAAGAGTATTTGAATTTATAATACTGGGGTCTTGAGAAGAAGATTTATGAAATCTGAGTCAATTTCACTTGTTCTGGCCCTGGGAGGTTAGCCAAGGCCATAGCATACTATCAAATTGTCATTCTACACTAAAACGTCTAACCAACTTTGAATTATTTCTAATAGGAATTAAACATATCATGCTTCCATCCATGAAGAGGATTTGATTCTACCATATCTGGATCTTGAGAACATCTCAGTGAATTAAATTTTGCCCCATTTCGCCCAACTTCTCAAGTCCCTGGGGGTGAAGAGCATAATTATGATTCACAATTATGATTCACCTCTGACCATGGCAGGTTTCTTTAAAATTTTTTAGGGGCTTTCAAGAAGAAGTTAAAAATGTCTAGTGTTTATGGACGGATGGTTCATGAAGCACGATGCCAACATAAGGTTATAGCAAAAGTTGGCTGAAATTCCATTTCAGGAACCATGTGAGGGTAATACTTCAAGTCTTAGATATAAAGTTTCAACTCTATTTTGCATTTTCTGTATATATGACTGAAAACTTCTATCGATTGTTTGACAGATCAAGATCTTACAGTTGGTATCTGACACGTTTTATTACCTCACCGACATCAGCAGCTCATTGGAGGTGTATGGATAACAATCAAAGATTAACTTTCGCAGGTAACTGAAATGGAAATAAATTCTGAAATTCATGAAGCAGAACATAATTTGTAAAGCAAGTGTCTGAAATGGAAACTTTTCTATCTGACTTCATCAACCTAGAAAATCAGTCATCCCACCCTAGAACCAGTCAAAACACCTTAGAACCAGTCATCCCACTATAGAACCAGTTATCCCACCATAGAACCAGTCATCCCACCATAGAACCAGTCATCCCACTATAGAACCAGTTATCCCACCATAGAACCAGTCATCCCACCCTAGAACCAGTCAAAACACCCTAGAACAAGTCATCACACACTTGGATCAGAATAGACAGAGGTTTTAGAATGCCAAGTGTAATTTGATGGCAGCTTGCATGATTCAGGTTACTCAGGGGTCTGATTAGACATGTAAGATTATAGATAATCAGATAATAGAACGGTTGACGACAGAGAGTTTTCAAAAATCAAACAGAATCCTTAGAGGTCAGATCAAACAGGTTACAAAACATTCAAAACAAACAGATTGTCAATGTACACAAGTCAGAGTGATCATCAGTTATTATATGTCAAACTATTAGGAGTATACTTCATTGTAATCTACATTGATAAAATACTGTATTAAAACCATGGTTATTAGGTTCAACAAACTCAATCTTTTTCCCCTTAATACAGTCACAACTGTCTTTTTAGTACACTTTTTTTCTCAATTTAACAACTTTTCCATTTTTTTTGTAACACAATTTTGTGTAACACATAAACTTTATAGTTATAATTTCAGACACAACATTTTATGATATTTGCTTCTGATCAATCAACTTTAAGCTGCTGTCCTGTCATAAATAGGTCTCTGACAAGACTGAACAAGCTACTTCAAATATCAACTGACAGCAATTTTGAATACTGTAGGAAAACATGAAATAACACTACTGTACCATGGGATGAAAGCATTGAGTATCTTCGATGTTAGTAGTTTGTTTTTTATGAGGTATTCTAGAAGTCTCTGGGCCAAGCTCTCTGACAGACCACCAAGGGAATGAAGATGGCTTCGTGGGTCCTTGAGTCGCCTGGAGACATGACACAGGCAGTGTGAGAACAGTGGCTGGACAGTGAAGAGGGGTGACAAGGTTACCTCCCCCTGGTTGTCAGGTTTGGAAGGAGCTGCTACAGGCTGGGCATATCTCTCTCTTGCTTTCTGAGCTGTGATAAAAACAAATGTCCAACTTATCCTGCTCTTGCTATGTAAATATTAATATTCATTAAAAAGATTTCCGTTCAGCTGTGTGGTCTAAACAGCAGGATTTGATCCTATTTTCTCTAGCAGCTGGTACCCAAGTATTCAGCAGTCCCATAGTCAGTAATACTACAGCTGGCAGCTATACTTAACTATCCCTTTCTTCTCCATTTACATTTGTACAGAGATGACAAAGTAAAGAAAACTACGCACAACCAATACTACATCACAGGTCAAATTATCCTCAAACCACAATTCTGTCAAGTAGATTATTAGTAAATATGTAAGGCCGATAATATGTTTAAATTATTTATATTGAATATATGCTTTTAAAGGGTTTTTCCAATAAAATTTCGATTCCAACCCAGGACCCCAGAGTAAGATTTTGTCAAGAGGTACCAATTCAATTTGATAATCAACTTTGAGCTAAAAAGCAGGAAACCAAACCAGGAATAGAAGCAACTTATCTAGGAGTCTTGGGATCAAGTACATGGTTTTATTGGAAAAAGCCCTTAGCTGGCTTCAGTATCTACCATATAGTTAAAGCCTTCACCTGTTTTGCCTTCTGGCCGATAGGACAGGTATACAAGGTCGGCTATAGAGTTAGATGGTGGAATAGAAATATGTGGTTTTATGCATTTAAGGGCAAATTTAACACAGTTGTCTCCTTACATTATCATTATTATTACTATCTTAATGGCCTGTTAACACATACAAGGTCATTAAGGCCATCAAACGGTGAAACACACAGCGATCCAAAAAGGAAAAAACATCAAACAAACTAAAAGGTAAAAGACAAATGTTAACAATCTTAAATGGGTATATTATCACAAAATATTACAGCGAGTGAACCGAAAGCATGCACAGAGTGTTTCCTCAAGTTGTCTATTGGCTACGCTTCACCTGTTCTGTATATCGGAGGTTGCGTTCATGTAGGCACTTGTCCTGCTGCAGATCTAGGGCTATTTATAGCACAACTGAGGTAGAACCCGACGACTGGGCCAAACTGATCACCTGTGTTGTGTGTAATATAAATTGTATATATATAGTAAAAAAATACAAGAAATAAATTGTTTGTGTTGTTTTACTTAAAATTTAAAATGTCTCAGTGGGTACATATACATGTAAAGATTAAAGGAACAGTAACCAAGTCAAAAAACACATTTTGAATTTGACATGTCTGTACTCAGCCTACACATATCCACACGATCTGTAATAATGAAATGGACAAGATTCGTCGCCTTTGTTTCCTCGTGCACGATGACCTTTTCTATGACAATTATCGCACAAAAACTTTGTGATCGGATTTCCTGGGATCGCCATTACTTTGATATTCGCTGGTTTCTTTTTCAGGTCTGTCATTTCATCTCGCTTACTCATCAACAAGATTCTGAGTGATTCTTTCTCGTCCTTCAAGTTTTCTTATTCTGAATAAAATTAACACGGAGGCTTTTTTCCATCAAAATCCAACGATTTTCGGCTCAGGCCTACGTTACGCTTTGGAATTTCAAAATTTTGAGAATCTTCGACTATCTCCAAACTCCTCTTCATCTTTTCTTTGGTACTTGGGAGTCTGTAAATTCATGATTTTGTCCATAATCCTCCGTTTATAAACCTCTGGGATGGCCATTGACTGCATTTTATTACTCCGGAGGTACTTTAAAGTTGAAAAACTTCTTATTGACACTTTTTCGAACTCTTGTTTGTATTCTAAAAGCCCTGAGTCCAGTTCCGTTAAAAATTTTACGAACATGTTGTCAGCCATTTTTTCACACTGTGACAGCATGCTTGTAAGGCGCACGGTTCAGTGACCTTGAACTTCACTGTCATGTTGCGCTATAAATAGATCCGGACTGCTGTTTGATACACTGTACAGGTGAGTCGTAGCCAATAGACAATTAGAGTAAACGGCGCATACACGCTCCTGGTTCACTCGCTGTAAAATGGTAAATCATATTCTACAATATAGACCAACATCTTTCTGATAACCTAGAATTTTATAAATCTCAACAGTTTCAAAGGGTCTTTAGATTTGTAATGTTACGATAAAACATTTCTCCAGTAGACAGAAGGTCAATGCAGTCCAATAAAAAATGTTTATCAGTGAATGGCTTATCACATCTTATGTGTCCCTTACACGGTATGTAAACAATCTTTTATAGGACGATTGAAGAGATTTAATCAACTGCTTTGTTAAGTTGACAGCAGTGGCTCCATCAAACTGCACCAAGTAAAGATACAATTAGATAATCTCATTTTTAATGACACAAGCCTATAATCCTTACATGCCATCTCACGTGCTGACTTGTTCTGGTTATCCTCCAGTTGTGGGTGTCCCTCTGGGACAAGACGCTGTCCAACACCCTGGAAAGCCTCATCAGCATGGACATGGCCACCACCTCCTCCAAAACCCAGTCCTAGGTCATTACCTTCATAACAAAAAAAAAATGTTATAATTCAGGGACCTGCCCACCTCTCCTCCAAAACCCATCCCTAGGTCATTACCTTCATAACAAAAAAAATGTTATAATTCAGAGACCTGCCCACCTCTCCTCCAAAACCCATCCCTAGGTCATTACCTTCATAACAAAAAAAAATGTTATAATTCAGGGACCTGTCCACCTCTCCTCCAAAACCCATCCCTAGGTCATTACCTTCATAACAAAAAAAATGTTATAATTCAGAGACCTGCCCACCTCTCCTCCAAAACCCATCCCTAGGTCATTACCTTCATAACAAAAAAAAAAGTTATAATTCAGGGAACTGTCCACCTCTCCTCCAAAACCCATCCCTAGGTCATTACCTTCATAACAAAAAAAAATGTTATAATTCAGGGAACTGTCCACCTCTCCTCCAAAACCCATCCCTAGGTCATTACCTTCATAACAAAAAAAAATGTTATAATTCAGGGACCTGCCCACCTCACCTCCAAGTAAACCCATCCCTAGGTCATCCAAAAAAAAAAATGTTATAATTCCATCCCTAGGTCATTACCTTCATAACAAAAAAAAATGTTATAATTCAGGGACCTGCCCACCTCACCTCCAAGCAAACCCATCTCTGAAGAAATCTATCCTGACGTCAGCCTTTATGATATTAAAACATTTGATGTATTCAGAGACACATAATGGCTTATTCCACACTATCAGCTTGCGATCAGGCAACTTTCACATGTAATTATGATTCATTTTAATTGTATTATTGTAACATTTTTGTAAGAATGAATTAAAGCTACCCCAAGGTAGACCACCTCCTCCTCCACCACCAAATCCCTGACCAAACTGACCCAGTCCTGGGACAACATCTGGTCCCTCATCAATTTCAGCATCTTCATCTGGTGCAACATCTTCACCTAGATCAATATAACACAACAAACCACATGATTTTTCTGACATCAAACAAAAAACAAAAATAACTCCAAAAATACAAAAAAAAATGGCAATGGAAATTTCTTAATATTACTTCTAAAATGTTTCATTGAAATTTATTCGGAAGGATTTGAATGAATGTCTATAGTGTCACTAGCTCTGTGTTACTTCAATACATCAAGAACCTTAGGGTGAATGTATGGTCATATTTAAAGAACTGAAATGTTCAAATACCATAAATGTACATATTTGTTATCATAAGTGGTGATCTTATTTATTTCCAGCATTTTTCGCATATAGGATACTGAACTAAAATACGATTGTGAATTACAGTTTCATTGATACAGCAATTACTGGAAATGTACACGGTCAGCGTGGTGCTCATTTGTTTAAAATTCATTTCACTCTTTAGTTTGTGTCAAAATGAATATGGATACAGTATCATTTAGTGTCTGTTGGTGACAGATGTACAAACACATCAAACAAATAGCCTTATATAATTTGTGTACACAGACCAAAGACCAGCCTGAAACACTCCTGCAAAAGGTCACTATTTATGAGGACAAAACATTTGTAACATCAATGATATTTTATTGTAAACCTGATATTAAAGGTTATCTAATCATTTTACAATCTAGCAGAATACTTTTTCAGACTATCCCTTGGTTTACAGTAATGTCATAATGCATTATACCTAAATTTGGCAGAACCTGTTGATTGTTTTCTTGTCCAAGGACATGACCTTGACCCCAGGACTGTGATGGCCCTGGTACAATGTCAGGCATGCCTAATGGGTTCATTCCCATAATGGGTGGCATCTGTGGCATTCCAGCAGGTGGGTTTTGTGGCCCTCCAAAGCCACCGCCCCCACCATCAGCACCGAAGGTCGGGGGCAAAATTGGAGGTGGGCCTTTACCCCCTTGGGACCTGAGCCCTGTTGAGCCTCCTTTGGCCCCTGGTGTTCCGTAGGTTAAGTTACTAAATCTGTTTAATCCTGTAGCACCCTCAGCTTCCTCTGTATCCATTTCTGAAGAATCTGAAGAAATATATACCATGAAGTCATGTTAAAAACATTGAAAACAGTGAAAAGTATGTCTGTTAATTTGCATATTATACTAAGAAATTAAGTCAATCTAGCAATAACTCAGATGATTTTGCAAGAATTTCAATTTTGAATCATTTCAATAATTTTCATATTAAACTATTTCAACGCAGTTTTATGAAAAAGTGCAAAAAATTAAATCCCAACCAGCCAAAATGCTCCACTTATATACCATAATTTCCACATTTTTACCTTTTTGTGTTTATATTACAGTAAATTTCTCTATTCTGTGTCTTCTTACCACTGATCATACCAGTAGTGTTTTTCCCTATCCTGTGTTCCCTCCCTATTGATTTTATCAAAATCTGATTTTTACCTGTCATTCTGGTTGCTGTTTCTTTTTTCTCGATCTTCCTCAATACCAATGACCCTGATGGTGTGAGGCCAAGGTCATGTAAAGATGTCTCCATGTCCACTTCCCCAAACTCTCTATGAGGAAATGGCTGTTAACATAGGAAAGCATCAACTTTAAAAGTAATGAAAAAATCTTGGCTGACTAATGTTATACATCAACTTATCACTCTAGTTTGGTCATTGGAATACCCATACCTGACATTAATGTCCTAAGGCCTTAACAGATTATCAAGCACTTAGGGGATAAAGACTCTTAATGAGATATCTCAATCAAACACCCACAGGATTAAGACACTTACTGAGATATCTCAATCAAACACCCACAGGATTAAGACATTTAATGAGATATCTCAATCAAATACCCACAGGATTAAGACACATATTAAGATATCTCAATCAAACACCCACAGGATTTAGACACTTACTGAAATATCTCAATCAAACGCCCACAGGAATTAGACACTTACTGAGATATATCAATCAAACACCCACAAGATTTAGACACTTACTGAGATATCTCAATCAAACACCCACAGGAATTAGACACTTAAAGAGTATCAATTTTGAAAGAATAGAATAGAAACATTCAGTCAGGACATAGGTCCCTGAACATTCTATAACACCAGGAGGTAAACCAACCTAATTGGATTAAGAAATAACTGCCCTTCCCCTAAGATGTTTCTGGACAAAGGTTAAAATCTTCTTAGGCATTTAGGAGCAATAACATTTTAAAGTGAAATTCAGCAAACTTTCCCTTCAGAGCCCAACTTCCCGTATCCCTTGTCCCTGGGAGTAATGCTTCAGACCAAATTTACTAAACATCCACACAGACATTAAGGAAGGTGGATCTATAAAGGAAAACACCATGGAAGGCAGATGGCACATAATTATATATAAATATGATGTGGATTGGTCACCTTGGTAACACAGGTCTGCTGATCTGACTAGACTTTTTTTATTTTACTGCAATAACCCTCTTCTTTAAACACAATAATCCTACATAGGCCTAACAATTGATAGGATACTGGCGTCACTTGAATGGCTACAGGCAGGTACAATTCACATTCATCCTACACAAGCCTTATATCAATAGGATACTGGCGTCACTTGAATGGCTACAGGCAGGTACAATTCACATTCATCCTATATAGGCTTAACAATTGATAGGATACTGGCGTCACTTGAATGGCTACAGGCAGGTACAATTCACATTCATCCAACATAGGCCTAACTATTAATAGGATACTGGCATCACTTGTATTGCTCCAGGCAGGTACAATTCACATTCATCCAACATAGGCCTAACTATTAACAGGATACTGGCGTCACTTGAATGGCTACAGGCAGGTACAATTCACATTCATCCTACATAGGCCTAACAATTGATAGGATACTGGCATCACTTGTATTGCTCCAGGCAGGTACAATTCACATTCATCCTACATAGGCCTAACAATTGATAGGATACTGGCATCACTTGTATTGCTCCAGGCAGGTACAATTCACATTCATCCTATATAGGCCTAACTATTAACAGGATACTGGCGTCACTTGAATGGCTACAGGCAGGTACAATTCACATTCATCCTATATAGGCTTAACAATTGATAGGATACTGGCGTCACTTGAATGGCTACAGGCAGGTACAATTCACATTCATCCTACATAGGCCTAACAATTGATAGGATACTGGCATCACTTGTATTGCTCCAGGCAGGTACAATTCACATTCATCCTACATAGGCCTAACAATTGATAGGATACTGGCATCACTTGTATTGCTCCAGGCAGGTACAATTCACATTCATCCTACATAGGCCTTATTATTGATAGAATACTGGCGTCACTTGTATGGCTCCAGGCAGGTACAATTCATAATCATCCAACATAGGCCTAACAATTGATAGGATACTGGCATTGCTTGTATTGCTGTATAAGTTTACAATTTACATTCAGTAGTTAACCCTGCAGGTAGAGTGATGCAAATGACCATGGCAGACAATTATTACTGTCCATTGTACACACACATATCTTTATACTGTTACATCGTTCATTTGCCAGCTGACAGAGCCAGTGGCCCCAACTCTGTATGAACAAGCAATCTGTATACAGAGCATGGAATGTGAGAATTGTGTATTGTCAAACAGCATCAGTCTTTAACTTTACAGTTTGGTAACTTGAGCATGCCATGGCTATCATTATTACATCAGAGGCTTTAAAAACACTGCAGAGATATTGTAAATAAACATTAATCCATAGCTAAAACCTCAATCCCTACTTATATGTCAATACTTACGTCCACCAAATCAAATAGATCAGAAAAATTAGCATGTTTTAACAAATTTGACCCCTGCGACCTTGAATATGGCTCAAGATAATATCTATTCATCCCACTAGGAATCTTACAGCCAAATATCATGATTCTAGGCTAATCTCCTCTGATTAGTATGGCATTACTGTTATGTCAAATACAGGAAATTATCAGATGGATTATTGAAAAAGTACCTGGATTAAACACATTCCCTGGAGGCATTTCTTCTGATGTGTTTGTACGAATTGCCACACTTCTTTCAGTCCAGCTGAGGCAGCAAAGGACTGACGTACAGACCCGCCATCTGTCATTCGGATCTGAACACAATAAAACACACAAATTAATAATCTATCATTAAATCATTAAATCATTATGGACAGTTTCCCAAGAACTTAAAAACTTATTAACTGAATTAAGGTAGAAATACTTATTTTTATAGCAGTGAATGAAGGCATCCAATGTGATCAGAGTTACGATGTATAAAAGAGAATTTTAGCACAAGTCATTTCTTATTTGACTCTCAAAGGGCAAAATTCCAAATCCATACATATTAACTTATTCAGTCTCCTATACTTTACAGTAAATAATATGTTTCATGAAAGTACAAACACCTAAATTGAAATGTTATTCAGATCCTGTCAACATTAGTCCCAGTTGCTCTAACCTGTAGCAGACATTTGCCCCCCGAGGGAGTGGGGGTTGTAGCAGTCTTCTCCACCGGTGTGCTGTCCTGACCAGGACTCTTCTCAGTGGGGGCACTTTCTGCTGTCCCTCCTCCTTGATGAAACATTTTCTGCTTCTCTCTATCATCTGCTATCTCTTTTAAGACTCTTGCATGATCCTGTATATGGCAAACACCACAATTAGATTAAATTCACACAAGGTATGGTAAAATTCTGAGGCAATATACAATATAACCCTACCTCCTCAAACCTTCTATTATTCAGCAAACTGATGATTGGGTCCCCACCCAGTCCTTACATACATATTCCTTGTTGAACCCTTACTGAACCTCGAGTTTCTAGAACCAGTATTCCTCCAACATAGTATGTTCCCTTCTATTCCTCGAACAGGTGTCATGCATACCACATGTATCTGTGTCACTTCAGCACTCTCACTCCCGAGTGTTTATAAGCTGGTGTCTGACAGGACAGCTGGCCTTACTACATTCCTATACAGCCAACTGCTACATAAGATAATTGTTTTATCATGACATTTGATATGTATATTAATCAATTAATTGAAATAGAAAATATCAACTGCTATTAAGACAGAAATTGGTTTTTGGTAAAAAATTATTCATGAAATGTCATGTATTTAGTGAGAAGATATAGATGAACTAGTCCACACAATTTTCCATGTAAGTTTACCAATATTTTTGAGCAGATGAGGTCAATTAATTATACAATACATAATTACAAAAAAATGGAATCAAAATATATATCATTTAAAGCTGTAAAATGTAAATTGTTCATCAATCAACTTTCTCAGCAATGTGCATTGTGCTTGTTACATTTTGCGTAAATAAACAGTGCTGTGAATGTTTCTTCTCAGTAAATTTTGGATTAATTGTTAAAAGTCAAAATATCTAAGTACAATAATAAACACTAGTACTGATTAAAAAATAGAGTGTTGAAAACATCATTCTGGAATGCTGGGCTTCTGCATCACAGGGCATTCACAGACATTCACTGCTTGACAGGGCATTCACAGACGTTCACTACCTGACAGGGCATTCACAGATGATCACTACCTGACAGGGCATTCACAGACGTTCACTACCTGACAGGGCACTCACAGACGATCACTACCTGACAGGGCATTCACAGATGATCTCTACCTGACAGGGCATTCATTCACAGACCTTCACTACCTGAAAGGGCATTCACAGATGATCTCTATCTGACAGGGCACTCACAGACGTTCACTACCTGACAGGGCATTCACAGACCTTCACTACCTGAAAGGGCATTCACAGATGATCTCTATCTGACAGGGCACTCACAGATGATCACTACCTGACAGGGCATTCACAGACGATCACTGCCTGACAGGGCATTCACAGATGATCTCTACCTGACAGGGCATTCACAGACGTTCACTACCTGACAGGGCATTCACAGATGATCACTACCTGACAGGGCATTCACAGACGTTCACTACCTGACAGGGCACTCACAGATGATCACTACCTGACAGGGCACTCACAGACAATCACTACCTGACAGGGCATTCACAGATGATCACTTTCTGACAGGAACTAATGAAATGGTCCCAAGGAGTTCAACTAAGCAGGGTTTTAATGAAGAAACAATTTCTTCTGAGAACCTGAGAGTTTTTCCATACCAAATCTCTATGTTACTTCTTCTGTCACAAAGGGAAAACAAGAAATTTTACATGTAACATTTCTAGCATGACAATGAATAAGTATTTGTACTCAAATGTGCATATTATAATTAATAGACAAGGAAACTCCTATTATAGCACATGAATTCCCCCAATGATGCAAACCAGAATCTGATCAGGTGTGCAATCTGATGCTATGATACTTTATGGGGTAAAGAAATGACACTGATTCTTCATGAGACGTAATATCTCAAAAAAAGACCCAAACACTGCCATATCACTTTCCAAATCAGCAGGATGTGAAAATGAAACTACACTTTTTATTTGTGTATGTGTGGATTTATATAACAAGAATCATATTTATTAGATTTAGAAAATAAAAGAACAACTCACGTTTACTCAATGTTGTAAAAATAGAACCCAACTAAACTTTCCTTATTATAGTGTATTTTGTGTTATTATCTCACTATTATAAAACCTACCCTCTTCCTTCTCTGTTTATCTTTTAATGCTGCTTGTCTGGCTTCGTCCATCTGCTTCATCTCAAATCTTTGCTTAGCCTTTCTTTGTTCCTCACTTAAATGGAGTCGGCTGAGTACCGATTGGGTTTCATCATGAACTGAACTTTGACCTTGTCCATCTGATTGGTTGATTTCCTGTTCTTCAATGGTAGCAGGATCAATTGGTTTAGATGCTGAACTAACAAATGGGTTTGTGCCTTCTTCGAAGTCTGATCCATCCTTAGATAAATATTTAATGATCAATTTTATTCTTAGTCTTATTCAAGATTATTAACTGTTGGATAAAATGTACTGAATTACAATCTGAAAATAAAAAGGATCAATTTTGGATTTGTTTGAAATAACATGGGTGTTGGTTTTAGGATAAAGAGTATCACAAACATTTCTTTGTCCTTAGCCAAGCTTCTCCACAAAACACTGATCAAGAAATATCTTAAAAAATGAGAGGGGGGTGGATGGGGTTAGTAAGTGAGTTAATATCATGGGGAATGTATTTTGACTTCAAAAAGTCAATTACTATTACATAATAAAAACTGTTTCCACTGCCTGTGTTATCATTAACCTGAAATAAAAATTTCTGACAAAAGAATATATCAAATTCAGATTTTAGTCCGAGTGTTGATCCTCTTTAATTTCAAAGTATGAAGTAAATGTGCATTATGTGTTATCTCCCTTTGACTGTGTAAGACACTACATAAAATGTTTTATTTATGCTCATTTATTGACTATGAACTCACACATTGAGACGCTAGTTTACATTTTATAAGAAGATGATCGAGATTTCATGATTCCCTGATACCATGTTAACTTATTATAAATAAAACATGTAGCGTTACGTTATATGATAAAGTTTAACATTGTGTAAAAAACATAAGAGTATAACTGAAGGACAAATCTGCTGACTGCAACTACGGGTAAAATACCTGTCGAAGTTTAAGACTTGGTGCTGCTTCTGAGACTTTTTGAAATCCTGGTTTTCCAGCAATCAACCTGACAATTGTAATCAAAAGTGTATCAAAATTTCTCAGAAATTATCAACTTCTTTTATTGCATAACAAGCTAATGTACCATTCAACATGACAGTAAAACAATTGACAGTGCATAAGAGAATATGATTGAATTTAGCCAATAATATTGTAAATAAATTTGCAAAAGGTTCTTGCAAAATATTTAAGACCTCTTTTGTTCACATAAATAGGTATAATTTGACAGGAAGGAGGCTAAACTTTGTACAGTACTACAGTAAGCCTAGGGACCCAACAGATCATCTCTGATTCTAATTCAAGGGTTATTTTATACTTCCCAATATTGGTGGATATGTGAAGATGTGAGTGGATGAATGGACAGATAGACGGACAGACAAAGATAAATATAAGCAATGAACAACTTCACTGACTCTGTGACTACATGAATGATGTTTCATGGAACAGGAAGACACTGTAGGAGGAGATATCTGTATATACCATCTGATTACAGATCACATCATGATCTGCCCTCCCATTCCAAATACGGTAAGACATACGGCATGTTGCAGGGAGACATTTAGCGTACTTCTGATCCTCCCATATGTTACTAGTTATAGTATGTAGAGAAGATCTTTTTGTTTATCTAAATGTGAGATGCCATTTGGTACATACCATTCCACAGCAGTTTCCACTGTGATCTTCCCAGACTGAATGGCATCTTGTGCATCCTGCCAGTCAAACCCCATTGACATCAGACATACTATCACATCATCAACACTCTGAAAGTAAAATTTGTTTTATCATTTCAAAAGAATATTCTGTTTTATGGGAGATATCCCAGCTGTTTTATATAATACAAGCTTTATTTTACAACAATTGCAAAACAAGTTATTTCAACTTATACTAATCACTCTTGTTGGCCCAGATGTAAGCACCCCAGCTAAATGTGATCATATATGTGTAATAGGAAGAAGTAATGAACAACACCCTGCCACCGCTGGGATTTGAACTAGCGACCCTTCAGTCTTTAGCCCGACACTCTACCGGTCGACTTAAAGAGATATTCCTACTAGCTGAGGCTAGTAAGGCCATCTGTACTCTCAATTCTACATACCGGTATGTACAAATGCTAATATCAATACAAAATAAATATATTCCACTTGATTTCACCGTAAGATATTAAAATAACCCAAATATTTTCAGTTGTTTACACATTTTTTACAGAAATTCAAATCACTCTGCTAAGGATAATGATATAATTGTACTTAATGATACACTGTTAGTTAATAATCAATGCATGTAGTTCATTACTTTGACTGCCACAAGTCATGAGTATCAACACAAATAACTTGTCACTGACTATTTGTTTATATAATAACAGCAATAACTGAATGGACTATGCATGAAGCTATTAATTGTAAATGCTGCTACATCTCAAAATGAAATAAAGCTCAATTGAACATCACATAAACATTTTTTTCTTCTGAAAACTAATGACATTGAACAGTATTTATAAACCATCATTTGGTGTGTTAAAATGACATCACAGTAAAACAATCTATATCTTTACAGCTATTTCTATATTATATATAGATATGAACTGTATCAGCTAATGAACAATGACAGTTTTTTGGTTTTCCCTGAATTATAATTGTTAACCAATAAATTATAAAACAGAAAACAACAGGCTTGATATCTACACCACATGTGGTAACACATGCACAGAACAAGGTTTTCACTAGGGAAGCAACATGGCAGATGTGAACTGTTTTAGCAAGAATAAAATTGCTGCAGCAATAAGGACTTCTACGATGCATATATTCTGCGGAGTTGCTGATATTGTTAACAATACAAGCAAGACTTTGAAACAGAAACATTCACAACCATGGAATAGGCCTAATGTGTTTGACATCAAAGTAAATGTGTTATCAGAAAGAATTTTTGACTCGTTTTAAGTCCAAAAATCAGATGTTGACATACTCTACATGTCACTACTGTCTTTGTTATTTGATGTTTACACATACTGCTAGCTGTTATTTGTCACCTCTGGCATCATGCATGTGTTCCTGTTAACAAATGAACAGTCTCGATTTCAAAAGTTTCACATAATGTTATCAGTGCTATATTTGAGAGAGAAATGGAATGTGAATATAGGGATATAGGATATGCCTTCATTATCAGGAATTTGTTTAGACTTACAGACATTGATCACTCAGCTGATTTTAACAAGTAAACCTTATAATAACAATCTGCTCAAATAGTGAAATCATTGATTTCTGAATATTAATATAATTCTAGTTTAATATTTGGATAAAAATGTCCTCGGAACAGAAACAGAAATGTTTTGTTGCAGACGATGACATCCCCTAGGTACAAAGTGAATATTTGTTGCGGTTGTGCAATATGCTTATTATTTGCAACCTTGCAGGTCTTCAAAATTGAATGTAGATGCCTTGCATAAACATTAAACATCTGTGATTTCCGACAAAATTTTGGTCATTGTGTGAAGAAATATTGGCTTGTGTGATAAGACTTTAGACAATGACGTGATAACATAAAATAACAGCAGCAGCAAAGCAATCTCGTCTCAAAACGCACAACAGCAGACGCACTTGACTGTGAAGTTTGCATAAAATGGACAGCAAAAATGTTAACGTATGTACGATTTCAGCAAAGAGAGAAAAAAACTTATACATATAAACAACCTCTGTTGCTCAAGGAAAACAAGCTCAGAATCTTCAATCACACAAAATTAATGACATAAGTTCTGACACTATTTTTACATTACCTGTGCAGCCATTTTATCAAAAAATACTCCTCGGAACACCTTGGACTGTATCACCCCGAATTAGGGGACCATCTCAAAACCGAATCGTAGGCTAGTCACGTGTCATTGTTTACGCCAGTGAGTCACATAACTCGTGACTGTCCAAATCAAGGCTGAATCCGTGCACCTATTACAGCAGCAATGTCGTCCAGTCCTGGATACAAAAGTCTTAACAATGGAAGAAATTCTGGTTCTACAAACACATGTTGCTGTTCCAAATCTTGGCAGAAGTGTCCTTGCTATGGAAAGGCGTGCATTGTATTCGCATCCATCATAATCGTGTTTGTCGTCGTTGTGTTTACGGTTGCAGGAGTATATTCTTTCTTCTACCCTCTACACGCATCTTGTAAGATCAAATGGTAAGATTATGAATGATAGAGAATGTTTTCATGTTTCATCGGGCATAGTTAAAACTGCTAAATTATCACTTTGGTACAGTATGTTATTACGAAACGCAATATGGCCCAACCACATTAAAAGGGCCGTCTCCATAAACAATTCGGCAGGGATTTGAAATGACCGTAGAATTATTTTCATGGTGTTAAACTCGAATACTGATTTCATCTTCAAAACTGATTGATAAGTCATTTTATTTACAGGTCAGTCAATGACTCTTGTGTTGACATCCAGACCAAAATCAATCAACAGATACATGACTGGAAGGGTGATTCAATGTGTAACGGTACCCAGAGGTGTCTCTACTTGGTAATATATAATGTACCAGTCTTGCACTGTTAACCTACAACACATTTTTAATGATCATAGGGTGATCTGCTCTACAAAATCACCCTATGTCCGTGGTCTTAGATCCGTCGGCAAACAATTGTTGATCAATCTTGCTTGTGATATATATTGTATATAGTCCAAAAGGTTCTGTCCATTAGTCTGCGATCGAGTCAAAATAAAATTGCGTACTGACAGACAGGAGATATATGATGTATGGATCTTTCAAATGTAAGTTCCTCTTGGTCCTTAGTTGTGAGTGTGTAACCGAGGGAGAATGGGGTATCTCAGCTGAAGGCTAAGATCCTGTAATCCCAGCCGAGACGTTAGCTGAGGTTAGGATGTTACAAGATCTTAGCCCGTGTAAAGGCATGTAAGGGTACTAGACAGATCAGGCGAGGTAGAAAAATCTAGAATGGGATATTACGTGGGATATCCTTGTCTGAGGTGCCAGAAAAAATGATGATGGCACCAAGATCCACCTGGGATCTCGTGTCTTACAACTTTATGATTACCTCAAAGCCGTTTCTCAGCTGTCCACAAACAAGCATTGATAATGCAAACATGTGATGTAGTCTTTTATGATAATAATGATGTGCCACCTGGTTATTTTATAAAGTGTCTCCAGGAAACCTGCAGATCTAAACACATATCTGATGATAATCATATATCAATTCATAATATTATTGGCTGCTTGTTGATGATATAGTACACATGTTGATGTTCAAGATGACAGGCAGCAAGGCAGGAGTTCAGACAACAGCCACCCACGAGACACCAATTAAGCACTACATTGATGACCTCACATTAGACTTCAGTGCCTCTACTGATGGGTCATGCCAAATTAAGGTTGGTATATATCAATTTATGTATGTAGGCCATTTCACATTGTCATATCATGGTTATCTTCAGTATTTTTTTTTATCACTATTTCTCCTGACCAGAAAGTCATGTCGGGAGTATACAGGACCAGTCAGGTTTGTTAGTTTTGCTGATGATCTTGGCTTTAAACAGTTGATATACACAATTAGTAATTCTAAATGGTTGTCATTATCTCTATTCGCTACTTAACTAGCATTGGAATCCAGGTATTCAATGAAAATGTTATCTCGAACAAGAGAATTCTTGCCTTCCCCAAATTTTCTGTTTTCCGTGACTGCAGAAATTGGAAACATTTTAATTTGTAGCTGTGAACAGAGGTTCTTAACACTGTTCCCTTCGATGTTGTGAAATTGGGGGTACAGTCACTACAGTACAGCCCTGACAATGTATCTATATAGGCGATTATTTGAATTTCACCAATTGTTGGGGGTTTGTACTTGCATTCAGAGGTAAAGGGACATGATCTTTACAGTCAACAGGTGTTACTGTAATTCATAATATTTTGATTTCATCAGAGCTCATTTGATATTGAAATCTTTTTGGTTTTTTCTTTTTTAATATGTATCTTAATTTCACTTGAGAACAACATTGTATCTTCCAGGGATATTCCACTTCACAACTCTGGTATGCAATTCTTGACTACGGAACCAATTACTGCAACTTGCACAACTTGATTACAGGTGAGACTGTTGAAAATGTGATAATTTTCTGAACAGAAATAAGCAACAATAATGTTAAGGGATAATGGTCATTTAGTTAGAAAAGGGTCTTTCTCTACCAAGAAAATTCTTGGAAATTTTGTGAAGAGTAGAAGCAGGAATATTGTAGTACAAAAAGCAATTATTTTGCAAAAGGCACTAATCTGTAAGCTTGATCTAGATTAAATTCTGAAAACTTAGAACTAAGCCTTGGTTTAAACAAATTGTTTATGTTTGAAGTTTGATGCATGAGAAATCTACAAGCTTTAGTGTTGTTATCTGGTAGAGGAAACTCAATACTGTTTCCTTTTCTCTGTATACTTTGGGGTAGACAAACATCATACTGTTTCCTTTTCTCTGTATACTTTGGGGTAGAGAAACTCAATACTGTTTCCTTTTCTCTGTATACTTTGGGGTAGAGGAAACTCAATACTGTTTCCTTTTCTCTGTATACTTTGGGGTAGAGAAACTCCATACTGTTTCCTTTTCTCTGTATACTTTGGTGTAGAGGAAACTCAATACTGTTTCCTTTTTAGAGGAAACTCCATACTGTTTCCTTTTCTCTGTATACTTTAGGGTAGAGGAAACTCAATACTGTTTCCTTTTCTCTGTATACTTTGGTGTAGAGAAACTCCATACTGTTTCCTTTTCTCTGTATACTTTAGGGTAGAGGAAACTCAATACTGTTTCCTTTTCTCTGTATACTTTGGGGTAGAGAAACTCCATACTGTTTCCTTTTCTCTGTATACTTTGGTGTAGAGAAACTCCATACTGTTTCCTTTTCTCTGTATACTTTAGGGTAGAGGAAACTCAATACTGTTTCCTTTTCTCTGTATACTTTGGTGTAGAGAAACTCCATACTGTTTCCTTTTATCTGTATACTTTGGGGTAGAGAAACTCAATACTGTTTCCTTTTCTCTGTATACTTTGGTGTAGAGAAACTCAATCCTGTTTCCTTTTCTTTGTATACTTTGGTGTAGAGAAACTCAATCCTGTTACCTTTTCTCTGTATACTTTGGTGTAGAGAAACTCAATCCTGTTTCCTTTTCTCTGTATACTTTGGTGTAGAGAATCTCCATACTGTTTCCTTTTCTCTGTATACTTTGGTGTAGAGAAACTCAATCTTGTTTCCTTTTCTCTGTATACTTTGGTGTAGAGAATCTCCATACTGTTTCCTTTTCTCTGTATACTTTGGTGTAGAGAAACTCAATCCTGGTTCCTTTTCTCTGTATACTTTGGTGTAGAGAATCTCCATACTGTTTCCTTTTCTCTGTATACTTTGGTGTAGAGAAACTCGATAGACTTAGACTATTCTAGTATACTATCATAAAGGTGATTTAAGGTACAATAAATACCATCAGGTACATGGCCTTTACAACATCATTATTTTGACCATGAAAATGATGATGACTCGCAACCAAACTGTCTGCTCCACTTGATGTATTATGAAATAGATAAATGATTTGAATTTACGTTATTACTTATATTCAGCTTAAGACAGCAAAACATATTATAAAAGGGAAATATAAGCACACTTTATAACATAAAATTACCCTCAAAGCTCTGTTCATTTACTACATGCATAAATGTCATTTATCATGGTGTTTCAATATACAAATTAGCATTTGGTTCCGACAAAGCATATTCCTTCAAGGAAACATTGAGGATATGAATACAACATTCAGAAAATAAAAACAGTTCTTTTGATTTGTTAATGACAGGATCAGGGGTAGACCAACTGCCTGGCTACAGCGAGACCACCAGTGATTCTGTGTGTACTCAGTACTCTCAAAGGAACTGTGACAAGTATTGAGAGGGCATAGAGGGATATCAGACTAGTCCACTAAAGAGCAGGGGTGGACAGACATGTTGGACTTTTCCACTGATGAGAAACAGGGGTGAATTGTGAACATCATCATCGTATGCTGTGATATTGATAGTGATTAATTAGGAAGTCGAAGAATTCAACAAAAACATTGACACCAGTTTAACTGGAATTTATGTGGTTTTGGATAAAATATTTGTGTAACAGTGATACAGAGTAAAACGTTTGAAATATGAACTGGTGACACATATATCTAAGTTTTCAATAGATGATTGACTTTTGATGGTAAATTTTCTAAATCTTGATCAATCTACTTTTGTATCTTGACATCTCTTAGGCAGGGTTTGCCATTAATGTTAATTAGAAAGGCAGCCAGCAGTTCTTTTATAGATTTTAGACAAGTCAGTAAACGACAGTATTAAGAGGTTATATTGAGTAAAAGGTTTGGAGTTGTTTGATGGTCTGACAGACCTCCAGATTGTGATTAGCTGCAGACAGCTTAGTAACTGGTAGGGATAAACCCAGCAGAACCAAATACCTGGCTTCTTATGTTGTCACTAAATCAATGATATGGTGCATTTTGTTGTTATAGCGGAAGATTACTGATCTGAGTTGTCTGTACTTTCTTTTCCTCAGATACTATGTCCTTTGCTGCCGTTTGTTATCCAGCCATCTTTTTTCTACCACATAACCATATCATTTTCATCATCAAACAGTTTTGTTAACTTATTATCATGTATCCTCTCTTGTTCCTGCCATTCCACTTTTTGTTGTTGATGTTGTGCTATTTATATTTCAAAGCTTCCTTAAAAAACGCACTTTTTTGGAAATAAATTTTAAACAACTATTGTATCTTGCTTTCATACTGCTCATGAGACCAAAAAAGACAAATATTTCAGAAGAGACAGTGTATTTGATGGTCTTTGCTTTAATAATGTATTTGTGTGATCTTGATGTCATATTTCTTCTATTACACACACCTGTATACACATATTGACATGAGAAACATGCCTTTCATTTGTTCAGTACATCTGTTAGCTGGATTAAGGGAAGGATGTTTTTGGTAACTTAAGTTAGTTCACTAATTGATTGAATTAAGTCAATTTACAGTAGTCTTTAACAGCAATTTGAAGATCTATTTGTTATTAAATTGCCTGTCTAATGTTTAATGTGTTATTATATAAACTGGACAGTCATGTTGATAGCTCTTTCCATTTACATGTTATTTTTTCATGATGTCTTTTTATTTCTTGTTTCCCTGAGTAAAGTCTTTCACAACAACACTAATTATCTAATGACTTCACTTGTATACATGGTGTGTCATGATTTATTTTTAGGTGTATCTGTATAGAACAAATTTTCAGTGTATTGTTGTTTACAATAAAACATAGCTTTGTAAATACATTTGTGTGTTGAGTTTTAAGCCCACCTGCACTACAGTTTCATTGGAGCATTTAGCTTACCGGAACTAGATGTTCATCCAGGTTTTAGCTCACCAGAACTAGATGTTCAACAAGGTTTTAGCTCACCAGAACTAGATGTCCATCGAGGTTTTAGCTCACCAGAACTAGATGTTCATCGAAGTTTTAGCTCACCAGAACTAGATGTTCATCGAAGTTTTAGCTCACCTGAACGAAAGGTTAGAGTTTAAAGCTCACCAAAACTAAAGATTCATTGAATTTTCTCACTTGAACTAGAGTTCCATTGAATTTTTAGCTCACCTGAGCTAAATGTTCATTGAGGTTTTTTAGCGGTTTGTGGTGATGTTTTTTCTTGAATGCTCAAATTTTGGTACGCTTCAATACAAGTCTTTTAAAATCGTTTGTTCGACTCATCATATTCGATTGTCGCATATTCTGATGCTATGGAAATAGAACCATGAGGCCTCATTGATTTTGGTGCAGTTGTTGGGATATGAATCATCCTCGATACTCCAGGGGTTTCAATCACTTTCACTCTCTGTACCCTTGGAACCATCCTCAATACTCCAGGGGTTACAATCACTTTCTCTCTCTGTACCCCTAGAACCATCCTCGATACTCCAGGGCTTACAATCACTTTCACTCTCTGTCCCCCTGGAACCATCCTCGATACTCAAGGGTTACAATCACTTTCACTCTCTGTACCCTTGGAACCATCCTCAATACTCAAGGGGTTACAATCACTTTCGATCTCTTCACCCCTGGAACCATCCTTGATACTCCGGGGGTTACAATCACTTGCACATCAAACGAATCTCGAGGTCACATAACGATATTTTGTAATGGTTTATAAAATTGAGTGTCGCTCCTTTGTAATCTTCAAAAGGAGCGTATCAGACTATGACTGGTCTTTTTCGCGTGGAAGCAATTAAATTACTTCACTGGTGCCTTTAATTTTGTCATGACATGTTCCAGGGGTACCGAGAGCGAAAGTGATTGCAATCCCTGGGGTATCGAGGATGACTCCAAGGGTAACAGAGAGCGATAGTGATTGTAACCCCTGGAGTATCGAGGATGGCTCCACGGGTACAGAGAGAGATAGTGATCGTGACCCCTGGAGTATCGAGGATCGTTTCACGGGGACAGAGAGCGAAAGTGATTGTAACACCTGAAGTATCGGGGACATGTTCCAGGGGTACAGAGAGCGAAAGTGATTGTAACCCCTGGAGTATCGAGGATGGTTCCAGGGGGACAGAGAGTGAAAGTGATTGTAACCCCTGGAGTATCGAGGATGGCTCCACGGGTACAGAGAGAGAAAGTGATTGTAACCCCTTGAGTATCGAGGATGGTTCCAGGGGGACAGAGAGTGAAAGTGATTGTAAGCCCTGGAGTATCGAGGATGGTTCTAGGGGTACAGAGAGAGAAAGTGATTGTAACCCCTGGAGTATTGAGGATGGTTCCAGAGGTGAAGGAGTAACATGGCTGTTCATTTAGACACCATTACCACGACACGAAACATCTATCCCTTGGGTGGTGATAGAAAGACTACAAGAACACAATTACTCGACAACCCTGGTATTTATCAACTTAAAGAATCTTGACCCTCATATTGAGATCACCCATCTTACCCTAAATAACTGTTTCGTTTATCATAACACGGCCACTTTAATCACATCTGCAATAAATATATAATCAAGATTTCAGCAGAGATTTCGGTAAGTACATAGCTGTATGTACCAGAGAGACTGGTAACGCAGTCCTTCAAAATACACACACTCAGCGTAAAAAAATATCTGGTGTTCATCGAAGCTAGGCTCTGAACGTGATACAGGTCATCATATCATACAGTGTTGATGTCAGACAGCACGGTTCTGTCAGATATACCCGTACGTTTTTAACTTGTGGTAGAAACTTGACATATGCGTTGCACCTCCTATAATAAATGCCGAAATCGCTTCGGCGGACAACCGACTCTTATAAAATCAAAAGTTTGTTAAGAATCAACGATGTCGTTTCTCATTCATCTTTATTTAAATCATCGATCCCGGAACTTTTGGATCATGGAGCATGGAGTTATGATGCTTCATCAATGATAATCGGAAATAGTTTCCAATCACATTGCGTGTAAAATGTATAGAAAGTACAACGAATTTATTTTACCATCAACATATACATTAGGTGACCTGTAGCCGGGATTAGGAGATGATCTGTCCTATAAAATGAATGATATTTAACTACTGTAAGTTAATCAAATGTACACAAATTATACAGTACCCACTATACATTCGTGTTTCAACGATTCAAAAACTGTCCAATCAATAACCTTGCATTGCTGCTCAATTGCGTGTTATCCCTGTTGTACGTTCCTGGGACTACTTCAGTATTTCTGAGGTTCGCCGAGGAATCCTTTTTAAGTAATATATGTTTATTAATAGATCAATCTCACGACTTAAGTTCAAATACTTCCTTATTGCTCTCTCTCTTAATCACATATAACGTACATCAAATCAATACCACGTGGTCATGTATTTTTCATGATTTAATTTAAATGATTTTTGATTCGATAATTATCTCCACACGTCAGTAACGAAAACATGATATACAATGTGAAATACAGATTGTACAAAACAAATATATTTGTCTTTACTCGGAATACACAAACATTACTTATCGACTTCATGTCATAAAATAGTTCATTATACTGAAACAATTAAATCTAATTTTCCATTGTTTTATTCGTAAAATCTAAGATGTGATTTCATGACTTCAGAAATTCTATAGGTATGGCACGTGTCTATTTGGCGTGGATGTATGATTTATGTACAAAACCATTCGTCACCCGAGTCAAGCTTCCAAACAAAGCCTGGTACGTATTGGTGATTAGGAAACAAGCATTTATTTAACTTATCAAATCCGTGACGTGGTAATCAACGTCAAAAGACAAATATCTGTAGATATAATATTTCACAAAACTAAAACACCCGTTTACTTAAATACAAAACATTATCTACTATGATTGGAATACATAGAAAATATATCTTGAATATTTTTATGAATTTTACTAAATTACTGGAATTAACAAACAGGAGGCCTTATTCCTGATAACTCATCACTTATCAGAAATTAGGATACCCACACATTCAAAACATATACTCGCACATTCTAAACATATACCCGCACATTCTAAACAAATACCCGCACATTCAAAACATATACCCGCACATTCTAAACATATACCTGCACATTAGTCAATACAAAACAGTAAATCATATTTCAGAGAAATCATTGAAAGATCGAACTAAAATTATATTTAAAAAATCATATTGATCTTACCCATAATCTGAGGATTAGCAAAAACTTGATCAACTGATCAATTAAGTCGATTTTGTATCGACAGGGTCAAATAGTTAATCGATATTGATTGAATGCAGTCACCCGTGTCGCGACGGATAAGTCGGGTAGTCGCCCGCAGATACTTAAATATATATACAATGTTCATATACCGATCTAATTATCATCCAAATATATCTTTAAGGCTACTTGTTCGGTGATATTTGCAGTAATGAATTAGTTCGTTTTGAATGGTACGTCACGCGACTGTGCCCCTTTAAACATCCTCCCCATGCGTAAAGACAACAGCGTACTGCTAAAGGAGAAAAAATCCTATGTGAAACCACAGATCTATTCGTGAATTAAGAAATGACGATATCACGGTGCATATTGATAAAACAAAATGCTGGATATGTTATTTTAAACTCCTTTTATCAGTTCAGGATTTCATTCTATGAACGAATTAAAAGCCCCGTGTGGTTGACTGTCCCTCGCATGAGAGATAATACAACTGTACTGAGATAGAGACAGTTAAACGTCTGTGGTATGGGGATCAAGGACGACATGTAACTGACAGACAGAACACGTTCGGGGAAATTCTGATACTCTCTGTATATGTTGTTTCACACTTTGTGTTTTTTTGGTAATGATGGAGATGACAGATTTGGTAACTCCATCATAGTACTACAGTTCTTTATCCTGTCTCCTTTCTTCTTTCAGTCCGAGGAAGTCAATCCGGTGAAATAGTCTACATTTCTGCGGGGTAGTCACCCTTAATGTAGTATGCTTTTCGTACGTATATATACACGTGTCTTTAATGAACGCCCGTGGATACTTATACAATACGACATCACCAAACAAAAGGTTTATGCTGGGGTAGAGTGAACCACCCAATCATCCATGCTCTCTGGCTTTAAATGTCCGCACACATTACTTCGGGAAATAAAACGGATATATGTCAGATTTCAGAATTCACACGACAACGCGTGAAATTAATTTAAACAACAACCATATCTGTGTTGGATTTTAGTTTTTGTGAGTGTTTATTCCTGTGAATGGATATTCCGACAATCTGACAATCAACTGTGATATCTTCGATAGTCTGGCGGCGTTTTTGTTTCAAAGGTATGTGTTTCCCGATAGTATCGTCACATCACAATTTTAGGTATTTTAACCAAGTATTGAATATGACATAGCTTTTTTTCTTACTCTTCAAGACAATGTCTTGTTTACTAACATCTCCTATTTTATCACTTACTTCAGACAGCAGAATGTAAAACTATAAACATGTTGACTGGTCCATCGTTCGACAGATATGTTGTAGTTAAAAAAAAAGAGAGAAAAGACATGTACATATTTGTAATGAAGTAATATAACGTTGAGTGTACCCTTTAGTGTACGGGGTTAGAGATGTGTACTATCTAATGCTATCATACCTGTAACGTGATTTTGTCGGGTATTTCATTATATCGGATGTTACGAGTATTCACTTTTTCTTTATTATTTATTTTAAACTAGTTCAGCTATTCCACTTACGTATAATAAATGTTTCATCTCATTTAATATCGATAAAAAAAACCCAAACAATTCTATCAATTTCGGCTTCACAAATGCTATGTAATTACAAACAAGTTCAGTGTTGAGTGTGTTTAA